CGCTGCGTGGCGCCCCTTAGACCCCCGCGTGGGACGTGAGATCCCTCTCAAGGCCCCTGGACACAAAAGTGGATTGACACAAAACTCGGTGATGTGGGGGCGCAGCGGGGAGCCCCAGATCTCAGGCTGATATCAGAATCAGTTGGCCACAGTGTGTGTCTGCGGCATTGATAGGAATTACCGACTCTGGGATGGTATTTTAATCCCTGGAGTGGTTTCAGCACCGAGGCCAGCTCCCCGTTCCCGCCTGAGACTCTCCTCGGTGTCGAGACCTTGAGGGTCAGGCGTGCGGGGTCCAGGAACTGACCAGGATGGTGGTCTGCAGTGTGGCAGCCCCGAGCCCTGGCCAAGTGTCTCGGGTGGCCGGGGCCGTCCTCTCGCCCACCCTGCAGTGGCTCACCTTAACACCGTCAGTGCCCAGATGTGCGGAGGTGAGGACACCGCTTGGTCTCCATGTCTGCACACCTTGCGTGTGGCATCTGCCTGGAAATTGTCTGCTGCACTGACGCCCTCAGGGGACCCAGATGAGGGGATTGAGGACAAGCACTCTGAAGTTTTCATCTATTCCGAAGACATCTTTCCAGCGTCGTGTCCTTTGTAATCATTTTCGTCGGCCGGGTCTCCCCATCCAGGGCAGCCGCAGCAGGTGTAGTCTGATGTTCTGAAATGAGAGAGAACCAGAGATGCAGGAGTGAATGCTTTCTCTCTGCAGGTCTGTGTGTAACGCAAATCCTCCCTCCCCTTTCCATCTGAATGTTTCCTGTCTGGCTGCAGGGTCTTTATTGATAAAAAACAAAACAAACCTTCCAGCCAGCTGCAGTGGCTCAGTGGATTGAGCATCATCCTGTGGACTCAGAGGTCCCGGTTCGATTCCCGATCAGGGCACATGCCCGGTCTGTGGGCTCGATCCCCCATGGGGGCGTGCGGGAGGCAGCTGATCAATGTTCTCTCTCATCAATATTTCTATCTCTCTCTCCCTTCCTCTCTAAAAATCAATAAAAATATACATATATTTATTTTTTTTAAAAAAAAACCCTCCGTGCGGGCTGTCCATTCACTAGCTTCAGTTTGCTTATTCCCTGCTCAGGAACAAGGTAAACGTGGAAGTCAGATATTTAAATAGAGCCGAAACCGTCTCTGTGACGAACCCAAGTGTTTGAAACTTGGACAAGTTTGCAAGGCCTGCTGTTTTTATTGCGTCATCTTCTTACCAGCACAGACTGAGCGCCTTTACGCCGTCGGGGACCAGGAGGGTCTGCGCTGAGGTTCAGATATTCCCACAGGCCCCGGCGGAGACGGGCCTGCCCCCCAGGGACTGCAGAACACCGGGACGGGGCAAAGACGGTCGTAACGACATTATGTCCGCGCAATCTGTGTACATAGGCATGCTCACGCGCCTGTGGGGTGTACACGGGAGAGCCTGCCAGTGGATGTACATCCAGAGTGAAGAATTTCATATCTGACCTTGTTGGCCAAGCAGTTTACAGTGAAGCACAATGACATGCTTTGGGAAGGACACACTGTGTCCCAAGACTAGACAGAAACATTCAGATGCCGGCAGGGCTGGCGGAGAAGCCACCGTGCCCAGAAGATGGTCTTCAGCTCTGTGGAGACAGGAGCATCACCCTCAGGGTGGTGTGGCCTGACCTCCTCGCCCATGTGACCTTCCAGAGGGAGAGTCCATCCCGGGCGCTAACCTCCGGGACCGGGAATGCCGTCAGCCGGGCCTCGCTGCGGAGCCTGCCGAGTCTGCTCCTCCTCCTGGGAACACACCCTAACGACCCTGCTTTCTCCAGTCCAGACCCAGAGACGAGAAGTCGCGTAGCTGGAACCACAGAGGAGCTGGTGGTGGGGCCAGCCCCCTGAGCACATCCTTACACCCGGGAGCCGGAGGGCTGACCGCTGAATCTTCACCTGCCGGCAACTGTGTTCTGGAGGCAGCCAAGCCCGTCTCTGTGCTCACGGCTCCTCTGCCCGATCCGAGCGCCCTCCCTGCCGGCAGACACTTTGTGCGTTTCTGTTTGTGTCCCCGGGACCGGACCCTGTGCCTTCTGCGTGGTGGGGTCGCAGTATATGATGGCTGAAGGGAACCGCATGCAAATGAAGACATCCGAATAGCAGTCGGAGGGTCCTGCGAGTTTCCGGCCACCCATGAAGCAAAAAGCAAGAGTTTGCGGGTTTCGGTCAGTCTGGGCACAGGCAGAGTGAGGGCCTTATAGGTGCCAGTGACCCGGGCTTTGCGTGTCCAGAGCGACGCATCCCATCCGTTAGGGGCAAGGGACGGCTTGGAAGAAACCCAGGTTGCTTCTGGGAGGTGGTGACGAATGCCCCTTTCTGGGCTCTCTGTCCCCTTCTTGAGTGTCCGGGTTCTTTTCAGAAACCTGTATCGAGTTCGTGGATTTAAAAATGAGACGGGCCCTGGCCAGTTTTGCTCAGCGGTTAGAGCGTCCGCCTGCGGTCCTGAGAGACCCGGTTCCCGCTAAGGGCACGTACCTCGGTTGCAGTTTGTCCCCAGCCCTGGTCAGTTGTGCGGGTGGCAGCCACTCGATGTGTCCCTTTCACATCGATGTTTCTCTCTCTCTCTCTGTTCCTCTCTCTCCCCCCCACTCTACCTGAACAAAAAATAATAAAAAATAATAAATAAATAAAAAAAAATGAGACGGGACTAATAACCCAGGGCCCACGCGCTCTTACTGTGCGGACAAGACAAATGTCTGAAAACGCTCGGAGTCGTTTCCGCGTCCGTAAACCCCGGTGGGAAGCGGCCCCTCCGTCACGCTGCACGAGGGCAGAAATGACGCGAGCGGCCCACCCCGCACACGGCGTTCGCGCAGGCGCTGGGGAGGGGATCGTGGCTCCCACGAGGGATAAGGGCGGAGGAGGCGCTGTGTTCGCAAATGTGCTCGCCCCCCGGAGTGCGCTCTTTACTTCTCCACAACGTATCTGCTCTTCGCACGCGCTCCCTTGGGGGAAAGAGGGTCTTCGAGGCAGGGAACAGTGGGGTTCGATACTTGAAACCCGCAGCCCACGTGTAAATCCCTCCCAGGAAATGCTGTGTTTCCAGTTTAAACCCACCGACTCTGCTCACGGCTGCCTGACCCCTCAGGGAGGCCAGGAAGGAGGCCGGGCTTCGCGAAAAGCAGGCAGGACACCCGGTTCCGTTTGGTTTCTGGTAAACGGCACATAATTTTTTAGTAATACGTGCCGAGTACCAGCAGGGCCGCATTTGTACTGAAAGAGGTGTGTTGTCTACCCGAAGGTGCAGTGTCGCTGGGTACCTGCGTTTGGTTTCGGAAGCCCATCTGTGGGTGACGGAGAGGGGCGCATGGTGGGGACCGGGCCCTGGACCTCTGGGGGTGGGGAGCCCTGGCTGAACCGGCCCCATCCTGCCTCGGTGGTCCTGCAGACCCCGTGGGGCTTGGACTCATCTGCTCATCATCGGCCCTTGGAAGCGAGCGAGAAGTCCTGGTGATGGACCCAGGAAGCTGAGCTCCAGCCAACCTGCTACCCAAATAGTACATGTCCTCCAGCTTAGATGTCGCCCCCCGTGTCACTTCCTGGCATCCCAGAGTCCCCAACTCGAAGCACAGAATAAGCCGCACCCCTGACCACAGGGTCCCCAACCGTTCTCCCCCTGCCCACCTGTCTCCCACTTCCTCTCTCTCCCTTCCTGCTCCCAAGGCCACCAGGACCCAAGGGGCGGCTGTCCCTGCTCCTCCCTGTGCACCTGTGATCACTCACAGCATTTGCTGCGGGACAATGTCACGAAGCACCCACTGTGCCCCGGACGCTAGTCCAGATGCCGGGAGCAATGGCCGTGAGTTGGTCCACGCGCAGCCCGGCGCTTGCTCTCGGCGCAGGGCGGAGGACAGTGAGCAGACACACCGGCGATCCGTGCTGCGAGGCCAGCGTGACGGCACGTGGCCGTGACCCCCGTCCCGAGGCGAGGCGAGCGGGTTGGGGCGCAGGCTGACGGTGCGGCCCCGCAGGGTGTTCTGGGTTGGGTGTTTGGAGAAGGCGTTTGAGCAAAGACTTTGTTTAAGAGAAAGACAAGTCCTGCTGGTGTCCAGGGAGGAGATGTCAGGGAGGACGGGCCCCGAGGGGACAAGCGGGGCGTCCAGAGGACCCCCAGAACGTGCAGCTAGAGCAGGAGGGCCGAGGAGGGCAGAGGTGTGGTGAGAGAGACCACGCCTGCCTCTTGATGTGCTTTCACGGTGACATAAAAATGATTTAGGCCCGGCCGGTGTGGCTCAGTGGTTGAGCGTCAACCCTGCACCAAGAGGCCGCTGGTTCGATTCCCGGTCAGGGCACATGCCCGGGTTGTGGGCCCGATCCCTAGTGGGGGGCCTGCAGGAGGCGGCCAGTCCATGTTCTCTCTCATCAATGTTTCTCTCTCTCTCTCTCTCTCCCTCTTCCTTCCTCTCTCTCTAAAACTCAGTAAAGAAAAAATAGTTTTTTTAAAGAAGGCAATCGCAGACCAAAGGGGACCAGGGCCACTTGGACCCGGGGGGACCTGTCCGTCACACTCCCAGGGCTGTCACCGCAGCGACAGCGGGGAAACTGGGACTCAGCTCGACGTTCCGGGGTCATCCCGTTACCCTCATCCATGTTCACAAGTGTCCCGAGGGGCCCGTGGAGGGAACGTCTCCTGGGGGAGCCGGCCAGGGTGGCCAAAAGGTGACTCAGGACCGAGACCTGAGGGGTTCCCCAGAACCCAGGGAAGCCCGTGTAGGATCTCTGTCTAGACAGTAGAAATGACGTCATCGTGATAGAACGCGGGTGATGCTGTGTAAAATGATGTTTTTATGCTATTTCAGTAATTCTAAATATTTGCACTTTTGTGGGGCCGCATAACCGACTGCCCCGTGCTGACCCTTCCCCGGGCCAGAGTTCACTGACGGACGTCGCGTGGTGACCAAGGCTCCAATTGTCCTTTGTGCTCAGATCCACTAACAGCCTGTCTTTGCTTCTTTTCCGGCTCCTCCCCTCGCCTGGTGCAGGTCCTGGGGTCCCCACGGTGACCGTACACAACACGACAGACAAGAAAAGTAAGTGCCTTTTGGTTTTTCCTACACCTTCCTGACACCTGGGAGAAGGGAGACAAACCGCCGGCTCCGTGCGATACTCCAGCCACGTTCTTCCCATTTGGAGCCCAAGAGAGGGGGTCCTGGAAGTTCAGAATGCACCCCGCCCATGGCCAGTATCGCTTAGGTGTGATGGGAGCAGAGGGCTGAGTCCCGGGCCGGAGGTCCCACACCGCCACCTACAGGCCGTCCCAGGCCACACACTGCCTCGTATTTGTGTTGACGCTGAGCACCTGCCTGCTGGGCATGTTTTCACTTACACAGCCCATGGGGCAGGGCCAGAGCCTGGGGCCCTTCCAGGCTCCTTGTCCTCCGGGTGCAGGCACCTGGGTGTCAGAAGGGGAGTCCCTTGCCACTGCAGGCCTGGGCTTTCCGGGGGCTGCGGAGGAACGCGCCCTCTGTTTTGCTCGGAGAGACCCCACGCAGGTGGACATGGGGCGTCTTTTATTCTGAAGAAAATGGGTCTTTTTCGTGTTGAATATTTGTTGAAACTCAGGATTACGTAGCTCGTTGCCTGAGGAAGTGTTTCCTCTCCCGAAACACGAAACACGGAGTATGACGCGTGGCGAAACCGCTCCCCCCAGGTCTAGAGCTGGCACGCGAGACAGACCATGTCGCTGTTGGGGGACGCCGGGGGCAGCGGCAGGAGCTCCATGCGCCACTTCTGAAAATTCCCTGGGACGGCTGGGGGCAGGAGGTGCTTGAGAGAGCTCCCACGAGGATTCGCCAAATGCCCTCCGGCAGTGTGACAGTAGCGTCCCTCAGAGATGCCCCTGATCCTGCCGGGAAATGGAGCGACCGGTTTTCACCTGTCTGGTTGGCAGCAGCGTTAACCCGGCCACCGGCTCTCGGTGTCGGCAGACCGAGGGTAGGCGGCCATTGGGGTGCTCTCTGGGAGCTCCCTAAACAAAGAGGTGTCTTTAAGAAGTATTTGAGCCCTGGCCCGTTTGGCTCAGCGGTTCGAGCGTCGGCCTGCAGTCCCGAGAGACCCGGGTTCGGTTCCCGCTAAGGGCATGTGCCTCGGTTGCAGTGTGTCCCCGGCTCTGGTTGGGTCGTGCGGGAGGCAGCCACTCGATGTGTCCCTTTCACGTCGATGTTTCTCTCTCTTTCTCCCTCCCACTCTATCTGAACAAAAAAAAATGGAAAAATGTCCTCGGGTGAGGATAAAAAAAAAAGAAGAAGAAGAAGAAGTATTTGACAGTTGGCCATCGAACTGTCACTCGGTGACCAGTCCCCAGGAGCTCCGGGTGACCATGACCACAGCCTCTCCGATCAAGGCTCCACACACCAACCCCGGTTTCCGCCGATGCAGCGCCAAGTCCCTGACGGGGTCTGACGCTCACGCTGTCTGAACAGGGCGCAGACCCCCCTTGTGACTCAGGAAGGCTGTGGTGACTGGCCCTGGGGAGTGGACAGGACAGAGGGGACTCGGGGCCACCTGCCTGCCAGCTGACGAGCGGCCGGTGCTGTGTGACCCCGAGACCAGAGGCCATGGGGACCTCCGGGTAGTCAGAGGCCCCAGGGGTGAGGGCTCTGGCTCTCCCCCAGCCCTGCCCTGAAATTTGAAATTCCTGTCTCAGAACTCTCTGTCCTTCCTGCCCTGTCCCTTGACCCCAGAGCCACCTGGGAAGGCCGGACATCTTTCCCTTAGAAAATCTCACCTACACACAGAGCCCGGAGGGTGTTCGCAGCTGGGACCAAATCACTGAAAGGCTGGGCCCCTGGAGAGCGTGAGTGTGGGTGGGACCCAGGCGCCCCGTTTGGTGCTGGGAGTCAGACAAGCCCGGCGCCGGGGTGGAAAGTCCGACACGGCCCCGTGACCCCCTGCGTGGACGGGCAGGTGCGGGGGCTGGGCGTCAGGGGACCGGCATTGCTCTGGGACGAACCGCTCGGCTTGAGGTCTCCCTAGACGCACCTGGGCTGGGCGTTCGGGTGTGACGGTGCCCACGGACAGCCCCACAGCGTCTCGTCAGCATGGTCACCAGCGCTAAGATGTGACCTTCAGAGAGAGGGTCCCTCCCTCCCATGTTCTTCCGTCGAGTTTTGTAAAGAAGTAAAACCAGCTCCCCCTGCCCAGGGGCTCCGCGGCCTTGGTGAGATCGTCCTGACGTGGTCCGTTCGGCGTGTCTCTGCTCCCACAGTGCTCCCTTCGGGGAGCCCCCTGCCCCTCCCCATCGTCTTCCTGAGTAACCGCCCACCAGACATCACCCCTTCTCCCAGGTAGGAAGGGACCCACGAGGTGCCCGGAGGTGGCGGCCAGCGTGGAGCGATGGTCCCCTCAAGCCCTCAGAGGCGTCTGTGTCTAGAAAGGTCCGGGCCCCAGGGCTCCAGCACGGGCAGCCCCTCTGGACGGACGGGTGGACAGCAGGTCCGCAGACGGCTCACTCGGGAGCAAAGGCCGTGCGTCTGGTGGGCGAGCCTGCGTCCGGCTGACACGAAGAGCAGACTGACGGCGTGTCCGCCCCTCGGGCACTGGCCTGGGCCTCCCATCTCCGAGGACGCCGGGGGATGGGCCACACTGCCACCACCGCCCCGTTCCTCAGTTAATGGGGACACAGACCCCCTGTCACTAACCAGGTCACCTTCCTAACACGACACCTGAGGCTGAGAGGGACCGAAGGGGACTTAACTTACGGGACCTGCCTTTCAAGTTGCCTGAAATCCGGCTAGCGAGGAAGTAGACGCAGCAGAGGAGAGTAATTACCCGAACTGAGTGGACCGACTCAGCCAGCCGGTGCGGGGGTTCAGGCAGGAGGGGTCCAGCTGGGACGTGGTGTCTAGGGCACCAGTGTGGCGCTGGGACCATACTTGTCTGAGCCTCGTGGCCCTGGGGCAGGGACAGCGTCCATGGTGTCCCGTCAAGGGACACGGGAGGCAGGGTCCAGACTCCGCAGGGAGGGCTCTGTGCGTGAGGAAGCCGTCCGACCACCAGGACGGGCCTGGACGACGGGGGATCTCTGCACCCGCACCGGCACGCGGGCTCACGCACACGCACACACGCACGTGCACACGCACACACGCACAGTCCCACACGCAACCTCCTACACAACGCAGGGAACTGAGCAGGTCGCCCTCCTCTCCTTGACTCATTTGCTTTTGGCTTTCCTAAGACTCTGGTCACTAATTTCCCCAAAATTCAGCCCGGTGGTGATGTCCCAACGCCCAAACCAACGGGGTCTGGGAAGAGCCGGGGGCTGCGCGGCGTCCCTGCTGGGCACCGTCCAGGAGGCGGGCCTGGGGACCAGCCTTTGTTCCTGGGATCGCTAATAGCTAATTCCACCCAGCGTGCGCGGGGGCTCACGTTTAATTAAGGAGTGGCCACTCGGAGGCTGCGGGCGGGAGGCACCGGCGGCCCCCACGTCGAAAGCGGGGTCCTTCGGGGCACTTGCCAATCTTCCCATTTCCTCCGCCGAGCCCGGCCCTCTTTGAATGCAATTATGGGGACAAATAACATGGCTTAACTCCGCTCCCCTGAGGGGCAGCCAGCTCTCTGCTGATAAAACCAGTTGTGTGAGCAATCATTAAACGAGAAATCTAATATTTAACTAAATTTAATAGTCTGCTGCCTCGGTGCCTGTCTGTGAGGGGTGGGATCTCAAAGCGGGGGACGCGCCACGCCGGCGCAGGCGACATGTCCGGGAACAATTAGCCTGCGGCGCCCCACGCGGCGCCACGGCTCCGGGTCCGGGAATTGCACACGGGCATCTCGGTGGCAAGTCTGTGTCCTCATTAACTCCGGGCCAGTCGAACAACGTGTCCCCTGAGTGTCACATCCTCCTCCGGGGTCCACACTGGAGGTAGCTGGGTGAGGGCTGCTGCAGCACATTCAAACGCACGCGTGGGGAGAGGGGCACCCTGTCGAGGCCTGTCGAGGCCCCGTCCAGTCCTCTGTCACTCGGACATGCGGCAGGTGGGGTCGGCTGGGCCATGGCCGCCTTCCCAGCAGCGTGGGGCTGTTCCCCGAAGGGGATGGGCCCATCTCTGTGCTTGTTGGTAAGGACATGGCCCCCGTGTTCCTGCTGATGCTGCTCATGTTTGTGAGTTTCTGTTCCCCGAGTGTGACCCACACGCGTACACCTCCAGGTCCCTTCGCTGTCACACCTGGGTTATGTCACAGGGGAGGTGAAGACCCCAGGGCTTGGAAGGTTGAGGCTGCTGGGGGCCTCTGTGAAGTCCCTGGAGAGTGACTGCCTAAGGTTCATTTTCTTTTTCTTCTTCTTCTTCTTTTTTATCTTTACCCAAGGACATTTTTGCATTTATCTCCAGATAGAGCAGGAGGGGGTAGAGAGGGAGGAAGAGAGAGAGAAACATGGATGTGAGAGAGACACATCGAGTGGCTGCCACCCACACAATCCCAGCCAGGGCCGGGGACAAACCGCAAGCAAAGTGCATGCCCTTAGCGGGAACCGAACCCGGATCTCTCTAGTCCATGAGCCAACGCTCTAACCGCTGAGCCAAACCAGCCAGGGCGTGCCTATGGTTCTTCCTTGTAACTCAGTGTGTGCTTCTACTTTCATCTTTAAGACATTCGTGGCCCTGGCTCGTGTGGTTCAGTGGTTAGAGTGCCGGCCCACAGACCAAGGGGTTGCGGGTTTGATTCCGGGTCGAGGGCACATGCCCTGGTTGGGATTATGCAGGAGGCAACAATGTATCTCTCTTACATCGATGCTTCTCTCTCTCTCTCTCTCCGCCTCCCTCCCACTCTCTCTAAAAAATTCGACAGAAAAATATCCTCAGGTGAGGATTAGCAACAACAAAAAAGACGTTTGTGAGTGTTTCGACGTGATTTGATGAGCCCAAGGTAGAGTCTCTTGAAGATAAATTCCCTTTCCTGTCGGACCACAGATAGTCCCCACGTGGAGGCTAAACGTGAGAAAGGAGAAGGAAGTCGGGGTTTTCTTACATATTGGGTGTTGCAATGAGGTGGAAAGACCATTTCAGTGGGAGATTAACGAGGTGGGGGGATGAGGGGTGCTCCTGTGACTGGAGAAATAGGATGTCTGGTTGTCACAGCCTAGGGAGCAGACTTGGCACAGGTCAGGTGAGGCCCTGCGACACATCGGCAGAAGGGTTAGGTTAGGGTTAGGGTTAGGTTAGGGTTAGGGTTAGGGTTAGGTTAGGATTAGGTTAGGGTTAGGGTTAGGGTTAGGGTTAGGGTTAGGGTTAGGGTTAGGGTTAGGGTTAGGTTAGGTTTGGGTTAGGGTTAGGTTAGGGTTAGGGTTAGGTTAGGGTTAGGGTTAGGTTAGGATTAGGTTAGGGTTAGGGTTAGGGTTAGGGTTAGGGTTAGGGTTAGGGTTAGGGTTAGGTTAGGTTTGGGTTAGGGTTAGGTTAGTGTTAGGGTTAAAGTCGGGTTGGGTTAGGGTTAGGTTAGGGTTAGGGTTAGTGTTAAAGTAGGGTTAGGGTAGGGTTAGGTTTACGTTAGGGTTACTTTAGGGTTACATTAGCGTTTTGGGTTGTCTGACAGTTGACAGGTTCATCTGTACAGAGACCCCGATGCCAAGTAATCTTACGATTAAGGTAAGAAATGTGAATCTTAAATTTTTCAGGAAAATTTAATAAAGATCATATTCCTATTCTCCATTCTTCCCTTGGATAATGTGACCATGGTTTTTCGAGACCACGTTGTCCTAACATATATATGTCATTTGTTTTCCCAAACCAGCAGTCTGGAGATCAAACATACCCTAACCCATAGTGACTATGGTGTAGTGGACTAGGGAACTTCATTCCGGCCAGTGTGTCTCAGTGGTTGAGCGTTGACCCATGCATGGACCAAGAGGTTAATGGTTCAATTTCCGGTCGGAGCACATGCCCAGGTTGTGAGCCTAATCCCCAGTGGGGTGTATGCAGGAGGCAGCCAATCGATGTTCTCTCTCATCGATGTTTCTCTCTCTCTCTCTCTCCCTCTTTCTCTCTCTCTCTCTAAAATCAAATATTTGAAAAAAAAATTTTTCAACAGAAAAGGGAACTTAATACAATGGAAGTATCTCCCATCCACCCAGGCTCCTGACTCGTCAGCCAGGTATCGAAGTCTCCGCATCTTGGGCCAGGTGGTAGAAATTACTCTGGTCGCCTCCCGGACCGGTGTAGGAGTGAGCGGTGTGGAACATGGAAACCTGTGGCTTCAGTACACGTGGCTGAATCTGACTGCTTTCTGTTTTCTCTCCCTCTCAGAACTGTTTGACCTGGAAACCAATGAACGCGTGCAGAGGGCCGTCAACGACCGACAGATGCCCAAGGTGGAGTACAGGCAGATCAAGATCGACGACTATAGTAAGTGCGGGGCAAACGTCCGCTCTGAAATGGCCCCGCTGTTCCCCATGCCCCTCCCCCCGCTGAGGTGTTTTCCCAATCGGTAAGGCTTTATATTCCAAAGAAATACGTCAAAGAAAAGTCCAGCCCACCCCCATCGATGACGTCCTTGACTGATTCAAACTACCACACAGAACCTGGAGGCCAGGTTCAGATCCAAACTTGTGAGAACCCTCACATTAACTGGATATGTATTTTTGTGCTGTTCTTTTGTAAGGAAGAACCAAAAGGCCAGAAAACAAAACAGTGTTGGATTGCTAGTGGATGACAGATGGATGGATGGATGGACGGACAGATGATGGATCATGGATGGATAGATGGATAGATTATGAATGAAAGAATAGATGGGTGGATGGATGATGGATGGATGATGGATGGATGGATGGATGGATGGATGGATGGATGGATGGATGATGGATGGATGATGGATGGATGGATGGATGATGGATGGATGGATGGATGGATGGATGATGGATGATGGATGGATGGATGGATGGATGGATGGATGGATGATGGATGGACGGACGGACAGATGATGGATCATGGATGGATAGATTATGAATGAAAGAATAGATGGGTGGATGGATGAATGATGGATGGATGGATGGATGGATGATGGATTAATGCATGAATGGACGATGGATAGATGGATGGACGATGGATGATGGATGGATGGATGATGGATGGATGGATGGATGGATGGATGGATGGATGGATGGATGATGGATGGATGGAGGATGGATGGATGATGGATGGATGGATGATGGATGGATGATGGATGGATGGATGGATGATGGATGGATGATGGATAGATGGATGGATAGAAGATGGGTGGATGTTTTAATGGTTTAATGGATGGATGGACGGATGGATGGACGGATGGTGGATGAATGGATGGATGGATGGATGGATGGATGGATGATGGATGGATGGATGGATGATGGATAGATAAATGGATGATGGATGGATGATGGATGATGATGGATGGATGGATGGATGGATGGATGGATGGATGATGGATGGATGGATGGATGATGGATGGATGGATGGATGATGGATGGATGGATGGATGGATGGATGGATGGATGGATGGATGATGGATGGATGGATGGATGGATGGATGGATGGATGATGGATGGATGGATGGATGATGGATGGATGATGGATGGATGGATGGATGGATGGATGGATGATGGATGGATGATGGATGGATGGATGGATGTTTGGATGATGGATGGATGGATGATGGATGGATGGATGGATGGATGGATGGATGGATGATGGATGGATGGATGATGGATGGATGATGGATGGATGGATGGATGGATGGATGATGGATGGATGGATGGATGGATGGATGGATGGTTGGATGATGGATGGATGGATGGATGGATGATGGATAGATGATGGATGGATGGATGGATAGATGGATGGAAGAATGAATAGATAGAAGAATGAATAGATAGATGGCTGAATAACACAATCAACTTCCACATGTTTGTTCTGACCCCCATACGTTCGTGTCTGTCTGCAGACCTCAGGACAGGCCCCGTAACTAGCAGAGCCCAGTGAAAACGAGAGTGCGGGGCACGTCATTCACAGTTTCTTACGACAGCAGAGCAGTAAGCCCACAGAAGACCCTTACACGGGGCCATGTGTGTCTGCACAGGTCACGTGCTGGGTAGCCAGCCGGGTGGACCTCCATGGCCAGACTTCAGATTCCTGACACACCCCTGCCCACTGGTCGACCGGTTTTCCAAAACCCTCTCTCAGTTTTCTCACACAGGTTGCTTTCCCCTCAGCCTCTGAGGAGAGATCGCATACCTTTGTGAGGTTCCTCCTCATCTCTCAGCCCACTGCCCCCTTCTCCGGTCCAGTGTGCACACTGCTGTCACGGGGGCATTTCCCACAGCCCAGGGCACTAAGCATGACGCTGTCCCCTCCTCAGAAAGTGCAGGAAAAGACCTTTGGAAACAGCACAGCCTCCCCCTCCTGCCGCGTGAGCTTTGTGTCCAGTGTGGGTCGTCCTCCGCGGCCGGCGGAAGTGAAGCTGCTACGGAGAGTCGGGGAGGTGGGGAGGTGTCCCTGCGGCTGCAGAGCTCGGCCGGGCTGTGGTTTCCTTCTGAGGCTCGGCTTGGAGCAGTCCGCCTTCTGGAGAGACTCGGGAGTGACCTGCCAGCCCTGGCCCAGTCCTGCCCCCGGGCTTATCATCAGTGGCAGGGAGCAGCCCAGACCATGTTTTATGGATATTCGGTGATAAAGTCTGAGCCTGCCTTTCTGCAGGTCCCCGGGCCATTGATCCAATTTGCAAGCCATTAACATTCAGTCGGAATGAGACCCTGGTCCGAGCAGGCTCCCCAGCCTGGGGCGTCTGTAGTAATTCTACAGGGAAAGCTGATAATTCTGATTTAATTGCTAATCTGGGTTGTAGTTAACATCGATAAACAATTTCTTTCTTGGGTGGAGAGGTTGGTTTCGGGGAGGACAGAAGGCACGGGAGAGGAAATGTCTCCCCCCTCGCTGGACGCCACACTGCCAAGGACCTGATCTTGGTGGCCTTGGGCTGCACCAGCTCCCTCCCTGGTGTGTGTGTGTGCGTGTCCGTCCGCCCGTCTCATCCACGTATGAGTCCACGGGCAGACACACACGCCCAACTCCTGCCTGCAAATGGTAGGTGTGCAGAGCCCCCCGGCTTTGCATAGAGTCCCGTGGCTCTCAGCCCCCCCCCCAGGCTGCCGCCCCCAGCCTCAGCACCTGCCCCTCCATGTCTGTCCTCATCCTCATGACTCCCCAGGATCCCTCCTCCACTAAATCACACTTGCATCCGCCCTCAGGATTTCATGCTCCAGCCTGGAGTCTTCCGTGGGCAAGCTCTTCCCGGTGTCCCAACCCCTCCTGTTTGCAAACGGGATCTCAGCTCCCGGGGCAGACATGAAACCTCAGAGCTGTTGGGTGACAGGGAGCCCCCGTGGGGATGAAAATCTCCGTGCCCTTCCTCCTCGGTCCCTAACCGGCTGCCTGTGTTCTGTCTGCCCAGGCCTGTCTGCCCAGATCCTCAAGCCTGCCACCTTCACCGAGACCACCCACTACCCCCTGCTCCTGGTGGTGTGAGTATCCCCGCCTCTTCCTTTCGGGGTGCCAGCTGGGGCCTCAGTGACACCGTGATAAACGAATACTGAACTCTTAAGAACAGGACAAGAGGGAGAAATGATGTCGCAAAGTGAAAACTTAGGATAGCCGTCAGCCAGTGTCAGGTTCTTCCGTGACTGTTGGTGACCCCGCACGTCGAAGGGCGGCGGGCTCGTGTCCCCCAGGGCAGTGTGTCACTGCGGGCTCAGACACGGTCCGGGACACGGGGGGCAAAGTCAGACTGCGCCCGGCAGGACAGGTGTGCTCGGAGGCCCCTGCCCACCGCCTGCCCAGCTGGCCAGATAACGGAGCCGCCTCGAACCCCGAGCGTTTGGGAACACAGAGTCATGCCCGGGCTTCCGTGCTCTGGACAGTCCGGCCCCCTGCCTCCGATTTCGAGAACTGCTCCCTAAGAGCTCTTGAAGCTGCTCTAAGGTGTGGCGTCGGGTGAGGGCGCCCGCCTGAGCGAGCGTGCGCCTCGCTCTCCCCAGGGTGCCGAGGGCTACCTGCACCCCCATCTGCAGGGAAGCACTTTTCAGAGCAGGTGCCGCCCAGAGGGCTGAGCACATCTCGTCGCCTCCCCCCTGGTCGTTCAGGGCCGGAAAGCAGGGCCAGCCCCCCGTTTACTTGGAAGGGGCAGGGATGGGCCGGGCCTGCCCTGGGCGGTTCAGGGACCACAGTGACTCGCCCACCTTGTCAGTGTCAGGAAACCTGATTAAGCAGCTCACCTGGCCCAGCTCCTTCCTGGGTCCTGGGGCTTCAGCGGCAGGAACAGAAAGATGGGAATGGAAAGGGGGGGACGGAAAGGGGGGGACGGAAAGGGGGGAACGGAAAGGGGGGGATGGAAAGGGGGGACGGAAAGGGGGGACAGAAAGGCGGGGACGGAAGGGGGGACGGAAGGGGGGACGGAAGAGGAGGACGGAAGGGGGAAAGGAAAGGGGGGGACGGAAAGGGGGAGACAGAAAGGGGGGGACGGAAGGGGGCATGGAAGAGGGGGAGACGGAAGGGGGAACGGAAAGGGGGGATGGAAAGGGGGAGACGGAAGGGGGGACGGAAGGGGGGGACGGAAAGGCTTCCTTCCAGAGCTGCCCGGGTGCAGATCCCAGATCTAATTCTGTTTTGCAGTTGACCCACTTCCTCACTGTCTGCACGAGTTACAGCTCTTCCCACAACCCCACACACACCACACAACACAGACACTACACACACAGCACAACACACACACACACCAGACACTACACACACAACACAAACACAACACAACACACACACACAACACACACACTACACACACACCAGACACTGCACACACAACACAAACACAACACAACACACACACACACCAGACACTACACACACAACACAAACACAACACAACACACACACACAACACACACACACCAGACACTACACACACAACACAGACACTACACACACAACACAAACACAACACACACAACACACACACACCAGACACTGCAACACAACACACACACACAACACAGACACTGCACACACAACACAAACACAACACAACACACACACAACACACACACAACACACACACTACACACACAACACAAACACAACATAACACACACACACACCAGACACTGCACACACAACACAAACACAACACAACACACACACAACACACACACGCGCATGCGCCGCCCGCCCTCCCCTATCCTGGCAGAAACCCCAGGTGGCAGCATGGTCTCAGGCTGTCACCTTGCAGGGAGGACCAGCCCACCCAGGCTGTCTGTCGGGGGAGGGGGCACCATCTGTTGCTGTTGCTGGGAGGGAGCTGGCCCAGGCCCTGGCCTTCCCTCCTGCTGGTCCTGCCCCGCCCCCAGGAAAGCGTGCAGAAGCCACCCCCACGCCCACGCGTGTGCAGTGAGTGCCAAGCTTCTAGGCCTCCTCCTACGAGGGCCTGTCTGCGGCGCTGGCCGGTGCCCGTGGTGTAGATGCCACGGTGCTGCCAGCCAGCAGGGGTCAGGGAGACAGCCTGCGGGGGGTGGCTCCGGAGACCGTCTCCGAGCGGACAGGCCGCCTGGCTTCCCAGGACACGCCAACGAGACGGGCCACCCAGATGGGTGTGGGCGCTGTTTCTTCTGAGTTACCCAAACAGGAGAATGTCTCCAGCCAGGGGCTCTGCTAGAGGAGCAAACACGTCCTTGTCACTCAGGTGACGGCTGAGGAAGGGGACACTCCGGGACACTCAGGCGCACAGGACCAGGAGGAAGGAAGGGGTCACCCACTGTGGGGAAGGCAGCCCCCAGGAAGAGGGGAGTGTTCTCGAAAGTTTCTCACCCACGCAGAGCCCTTTGGTGACTCCCAACCACGAGCCTCGAGTGGCCGTCTGAGGCCTCAGGCTCATCACCCCCGGGTTGCGACGATGCCGCTCACCCACCCTGGGGACCCACCGGGCATGGAGTCAGCAGGTGGCAGCCAGGGGCAGCGGCCCCTCCCAAGCGAGAACCGCAGCACCTGTGTTCGTTTTTCCAGGGACGGCACCCCGGGCAGCCAGAGCGTGACGGAGAAGTTCGGGGTGAGCTGGGAGACGGTGATGGTGAGCAGCCACGGGGCGGTGGTCCTGAAGTGTGACGGCCGAGGCAGTGGCTTCCAGGGCACCAAGCTCCTGCAGGAAGTGCGGCGGCGGCTGGGCGTCCTGGAGGAGCGGGACCAGCTGGAGGCTGTGCGGTGAGAACCACCCGCCGGGCACGGCCGGGCAGGGCAGGGAGGCGCCTCCCTCTCCGCGCCGTCTCCCCGCGGCCCTCTGGTCAGTGTGCACGTGTTGCCGGCAGAATGGTCCAAAGGGAGTATGTCCCCCAGCAGCGTCCTCCCAAACAGTCGTGGCTTTCCGACAGCGAGGTCGCTTGTCTCTTTCGCCGATTCGAACGCAGTGCGGAGACCGTCAGACCTGGGCCAGCGTCCACACACCTTGGCTCCCTCCACGAGGAGATGGAATGTGAGCGTGGATGGAGCCCGCGACGGGTCCCCGTGCCTGGGAACAGCACCATGCACATGCAGGCGGCCGTCGGGGAGCGGACTGTGGCGGAGAGCAGGTGGCTTAGCCCCCGGGGACGTGCTCCCAGCTACTTGTTGAGTTTTACTGTTGCCCAGGAGAAAAGACGTCAAGCACCTGTGCTGGGCTGCACCTGGCCGCCAGCTCACTGGGTAAATAGAGTCTTCGTAGACGGCGGTGCTCACAGACCGACCACTGAGATGCCCACTCAACCGAATCCACAGACTCGCCCACTCAAGACGGAGGGCCAGGGACACAGCAGCAGAGACCTGAAGACGACCTTCATTGTGAACCGCCGAGCGCGACGCTGGGCCCTGGCTGGTGCGGAGAGGGCGCCCGGAGCCCAATGGGGACGTGCTTGTTGACCGGAGGACGGTCAGCCTGGCAGCCCGTCTCCTGCTGGCGTGGCTGCAGATTGAAAAGATTCCACATCACTGGCTTTTCAAAACGTTTTCTGCCTCGTTTTACAAAGATGGGTGGCGCGCCGTGTGTGCAGAGGCGAGGATTTTGAAATGGCTCACGAGAGAATGTGCCCCCTCTCCTCCAGGGCATTGGGAGCTGGTGGGGGAGGGACAGGCAGCATGTCCAGAGCCCCACGTGCCAGGCAGGAGACCCAGATGAGGGAGAAATTCCTGCAGACCCTCCAGTCCAGGAAGGCACATGGGTGAGATGCTTTTGCCTGGACGTTGACAACGCACACAACGTCAAACGTGTTTTAATGATAAGGAACGATGTTGGATCTGGAAGTCCAGAGGGATGTCAGGACTTGGGGCAGCAGGGTCAGAGACCCAGCGATGTCGCCAAAGACCCAAGCCCTCAGCATTTCTCCATCTCAGCCGATCACAGCGGCCTCATCTTGGGCTGGTTGTCCTCATGTGCACAGAGTGGCTGCCAGGAGCATGTCATCGCATGCTTCTTCATTCACTGCCAGCAGGTTCAGAAAGGAACCACTTCCAGAAAGAAAGGGAGGAGCTTCCCCAAGGCACTCACCACAGCTCTCCTTGCATCTCCCGCCCCCTCCGGAACCCAGAACCTACAAGGGACGTCTGGGCGGTCACCCTGAAACTGGTGGGTCCAAGTTGGCCTGGGAGGAGGACGGAGGAGGAGCAGGTGGACTCCAGGGCAGCAGCCAGCAGTATCCACCAGGAGGACATGTCAGTCAGGCTCAGCAGTGACAGGGACACCCGTCAGCAGCCACGTGGGGTCGCCCCGCAGGGCTGACTGTCCCTCCTGAGTGGCTTTTCCACCTGCTTTGTCCGGCCCTCACTCGCCCTGCTCTGAGCCTCCCCCTGGAACACAGGGGCCTCTCCGGTCCCCAAGGACACGGCGTCCTCCAGCTCTGCGCTCCGGGACAAGAGGGCCGCGGCCTCTTCGACTTGCGGAGCTTTCGGAACACGAGGACTCGGGCCACCATCCGTTGGGAAACAGCAGAACCTGCTGTGGAAAAGAATCAGTGTCGCCACCGCTCCGCCCCCGAAGCTCTGAGGGAAGAACACGGTTCGTCCACACGCGGACCACCAGGCTCCGCTCAAACCCGGGACCTCTGCTGAGCCGGCTGAGGCCCCGGCCTGAGCTTTCGTTCATGAGACAGAAACCCTTTCATTCGCTGAAGAACCCACGAGGCCGGCCCGGCACCCAGCTCCCCGAAGCTCCCTGCCCTTTCAGGCCCCCCAGTTGTCCTCTGCCCCATGTCTGCATCCTGGAGCCTGTGGGGGCACTTCTCACGACACGTGACAAGTCCCACCGCGGGGGGAGGGACGGTCTGTGAACCGTGGTGCGGGAGACACAGTTCCAGGGCACAGGAGCGAACAGCCACCTCGAGGAGCCGCGGGGGCAGGACCTCACTCCCGAAGATGGGCAGGGCCTCACCAGGAGAAAATGGGGGACACATTCCCAAACAGAACATGCTGAAGCCCAGGCTGGGGTTCGAGCCGGGCGCAGTGTGGTGGGCCGTCGGGGGACGGGAGGTGTCAGTGTGGCTAGAAACCCACTGACTGGGTAATTCGGGGAGCAGGGAATAAAGGCAGGGGTGCCTCTGCCACCGACGGGCACATGACAGGGGCCCCTCCCGGAGCTGGGACAGAGGGCAGCTTTGTCCCAGCTCCCGATCCAAGCCCTGAGGCACAGAATGGGACACCTTTGTCCCTGCTGACCCAGGTGCACCCCTCCAGCGTCTGGGGTGGCTGGGAGTCCCATGTGAAGGCGGCGACAGCAGGGGGCAGGGACCCCGGCAGGGCCTGGAGGCCCCCAGAACAGCCTGGCTCTCAGCGGGCAAGCTTACAGGCCTGGGTTCCTTCAGGGTCCCCTCGAGGACACCTGGAGTTTTCACGTGGGCCGCCAGCGAGGTGCACGCAGGAACGATGCACGTCGGAATCCCAGCGTCGGTTTAAATGGGGCCCCGCCCTGGAGATGGGGGGAGCGCAGCCCTGGGCCCTGGGGGTGCACACGAACCCCGCTGCGGCTAACCCTCTCCCTGGGCTTCGCAGGACGCTGCTGAGGGAGCCGTACATCGACAAGACTCGCGTGGCCGTGTTCGGAAAGGTGAGTCGCCTGATCCGATCGCCACCCCTCTCGCGACTGTGACCCGCAGGGTCCGTCCCCAGGCCGGTCCTGGTTTGCCGGGACTGTCTCCGGTCTGCTGGTGCGCGAGCAATGTTTTAGGAGCCGGTGAGTGGAGCTGTGGCCTCTCCCAGGTGTCCAGGGGCGAAGAGGGGCAGCCGCCCGTGTGGTCTGCGGACTCAGGCCTGCAGGCGGCAGGAGCCCCCGGGACAGGGCTCTCGTCGAAACCCTGGTAGGCCGCGGGGTGGTCGAGGAAACAGAGTCAGTGGACTTGGCATTCTGGAGCAGTTCTAGCTAAATTGAGAATAAAGTACAGAGATTTTCTCCTGCTCGCCTCCCCCCCGCCCCGCCACTATCGACACCCTCGTCGGATGGCATGTTTATTACAGTGGTGAACCTATGTTGACACGTCATGGTCCCCCAAAGGCCGCACTTTAGGGCTCACGCCGGTGGTGTTCCTTCCTTGGGTTGGGACAGATGTATAATGGCGTGTCCATCATCACAGTATCATAGAGTGCTCCCCGCCACATCCCCCACATCCCTCCTCTCCCCCCCCTCCCCGGGAACCACTGACCTTTTCCTGTCTGCGTGGTTTTGCTTTTCCCAGAAAGTCACATGGTGGGATCCCCTGGGGGGCTTGTGCATTCTGGCCCTTCCCTGGGCGACTTCTCCATTTCCTTGCTCTCGACTAGACCCTAAAAGACGGTCACACTTAAGCCAAAGAACAAACACGCGAGAATCGACGTCTTTCCACCAGTAATCTGGGGAGACTCGCTCTGTTAACGTTACCGCCGATGAAGATGCCAAAGCCATGAACTTCTATCACCCCGGACGTCAGGGCGCGTCCGCGCCACGCTGGGTTGAGGAGCGGGCATGGCGGGATCCCCCGTGTCTTTTCTCGGCCCGACCGCTCATTTCTGGGCGGCGCAGAGTGACGGCCCCTCGTCTGGACGGACCCCAGCTTATTTACCCGCCCCCTGCTGCTTTTACGTTGTCGAGTGTGAGTCAGAGCAGCTGCCAACACCTGCAAGCCGGGAGCTGGGTGGACGCGTTTTCAGCTCCTTCGGGTGAAGGCCGGGCAGCCCACAGTGAGCGGAGCACCTCCTGCCCCGGGCCCGCGCGGCACTGGGGGGGTCGGGCAGTGCTTGGCAAACACCGACTGCGGGATGGTGTGCCGGACCCGTGGGTCCCTCCGACTGCACAGCGATGTGGCAGACACCAGGAAGATCTTTGATTGTCATTAAGACGAGATATTCCTGTTCTGCTGAAGGAACCCTGTTATGATACGACACTCAGGCATGGAGTGGGCACGGCTTCACCCTCTCCAGAGGTGTGTGGGTTCTCGGCCCCGCCCTCCACAGCAGCACCCACACACTCACGTGCTGACACACTCACACGCACAAGCACACACCGTCACACACACTCACATGCACATCACACTCATACACACAGACACACATAGACACCCACACACACTCATATACACACATGCACACACAGATACCCACACACACTCATATACACACATGCACACACAGACACACTCATACACACACACTCATACACATGTGCGGGCACACACGCACACTCACATGCACACACACTCATACACAGGTGCACACACTCATGCACACTCACACAGACACACACACTCACACACAGACACACACACACACTCATATACACACATGCACACACACACTCATACACACTCATGCACACTCATACACATGTGCGGGCACACACGCACACTCACATGCACACACACTCATACACAGGTGCACACACTCATGCACACTCACACACAGACACAGACACACACACTCACAGACACAGACACCCACACACACTCATATGCACACATGCATACACAGATACCCACACACACTCATATACACACGTGCACACACAGACACACTCATACACACACACACTCATACACATGTGTGGGCACACACTCGTGCACACTCACATATACACACATGCACACACACTCGTACACATGTGCACACACTCATGCACACTCACACACAGACACAAAGACACACACTCACACCTTTGACGGCCCCCATACCCGGGTTGTCCTGGGCCTTTGCCCCCTCCCTCCTCAGGACACCACATCTGTGTCCATTCCCTGGGCCTGAGGGGACCAGGGCACGTCTGTGCGAGGAGGTCTGAAGGCGCGTGGCGGGTAGTGTGTCAGTTTGGCTGTCTCGGGGAGGCCCACATAGAAGCGGGATCTTCGATGTCGACGCCAAGGTGAGGGCAGTGCAGGGATCTGAGGGTTTACCCGAGTACGGGACACCTGCAGCCATCCTGGTGGCCCCTGAGCGGGTCACCACACACTAGGGACCCGGGTCCTAGTCGGCCTCCCTCAGAAGCTCGGGAACCCCCCAGAAGGGCCTGGCTTCGCCTGTAGACAGAGTCGGCCGGAAGCAGGACACAGAGGCCTTGGAAGGGCGTGCTCAGAGCCTGCGCCGCACGGCCTCCGTGCTGTGGGTCCGCTTCAGTTCACGCCCCTCCACCTTCACGGGGCTCAAAACTCAGCCCGAAGAGGGCGAGACTAGCTTCACCTAATAGTGAGCTGGGATGGTATTTGCTTTGCTTTTCTTGCCCCCTTTTAAAACTGTGAACTTTACATTATTTTTTCTTTATTGATTTTAGCAAGAGGAAGGGAGAGGGAGAGAGAGAGAAACATCAATGAGAGAGAACATCAACTGGCCGCCTCCTGCACGCCCCCCATCGGGGATTGGGCCCACAACCTGGGCATGTGCCCTGACCGGGAATCGAACTGGCGACCTCTTGGTGCAGGGTCGACGCCCAACCACTGAGCCACACCAGCCGGGCAAAGTTTACATTTTTTTAAAGCCGCTACATGGAAGGTCCCTTGAGTGGCTGCTATGTCCGAGGCTGTTTTCATGGCTGAGTTACTGACTTTGCTGCCACCCAGCTGTCTTCCTCTTGTTCCCAGGACTACGGTGGGTACCTGAGCACGTACATTCTCCCGGCAAAGGGTGAGAACCAAGGTCCCATCTTCGCCTGCGGCTCTGCCCTCTCTCCGATCACGGACTTCAAGCTCTATGGTAATGCTCTTGCTTCACACACATCCTAGCTCCCCGGGTACCCCAAAGCCTTCAGCTCCGCCGCCCCGCCTGCCCCCACCTCAGGCACCCACAGTCGATAGTGAATGATGTGGGGTGGTAAGGCTCACGGGACAGCTCGGAGACAGGACCTGGGGACGGAGAGGGGTGCCTCAAAGTCGCCTGTCTTGGTGCCCGTGAACCATGTCCCCGCGTACTCGGCCAGCAACCGAAGGGTCAGCCCGCGGTTCTGAGCTCGTGGGGGTGGGAGCAGGAAACCCTGGCAGGGGGTGGAGGTGCGCTGAGACCCCAGAGGGCCTCCCTGCTGCCAGCCTGTGGGCAGGCCCCCGCGGGCTCTGTGTCCCGGGGATCAGGTGGGCAGATGGGCGGCGGAGAGTGCGGCACCGTGCCGTGGGGGCAGAGCTGGGGGCTGAGCTCCTCTCTGCCCTCTGCCTGCCTTCCCCCCGGCAGTGCGGGGACCTGGCCCGCCTGGCCCTGGAAAGAGGGGCCAGAGACCAGGGACAGGTGTCAGGATACCTTGTTGCAGGGACCAGACACAGGTCGGACCTCCCTCTGTGGGACTCAGACCTCTGTGTGGGCACAGATGTGGCACTGTCTTAGGTTTGAGTCCCCCTCCATCCTCCTCCCTCTGGCCGGCCAGCCCCTTTTCTCTGAAGGGGTTTTATGATATTAACCCCTTTTCAAAAGCTCCCATGCTGCACCCTCCTGGTGCCCCACGCCCACACCCGGGCACCCCACAGAGGGGCCCAGACAGCCCCTAGCGCCCAGCAGCCCAAAGGCTCACCACGCTGACCTTTACCACGAGCTGCAGTGCAAATGTCACCGTGTGATCGTCTGAGAACTCTCCATTCAAAACGCTACTCCTTTAAATTCGTTTTCCCATGGGAACGCAGGTAGTATTTTTCACATTGCTCAAACTCAGTGAGCCTTTCTTAGTTTTTTTTAAACTTTTCTGTATTGATTTTAGAGAGAGAGGAAGGGAGAGGGAGAGAGAGAAACACCGATGAGAGAGAACATCGACTGGCCGCCTCCTGCACGCCCCCCACTGGGGATCGGGCCCACAACCTGGGCATGTGCCCTGACCGGGAATCGAACCGGCGACCTCTTGGTGCAGGGTTGGCACTCACCACTGAGCCACACGGCCCGGGCCTTTCTTAATTTGTAATCACGCCGTTTCGAATTTGCGGGCTGGGAGCACACACAGACGCTGCCGCCCCTCCTGACGTCACCGTGTTGTCTCTGCTGCTTGACTGGGGTGTCCCTGAAACCTGTGGGCACTCTTTGGAGCCCTTTGCGGATGGTCACCCAGATGCTCACCCAGAGCCTGGACCGGGTCCAGGGTTCGGAGTGAAACAGAGATGCGCCGAGACTTCAGAACATGAGGAAATCCTGGTGGAAATCTGCTCGGTGTGTGTTCTCTGTCCCACATGCTGAAACGAAGTGGGTGTCCTGTTTCCTTAGGATTCAGACTAAGTAGGTTTTGCTTAATTAACGTGTCGCCTTCCCGCCTGAAACCCAGTCCCCAACGCTAACGTGTTTAGATGTTACCAAGGTAACCATCTGATTTCCGAGTGAAGACCCGAGAGGACGAGTTTGCCTTTTTAAAGACAAATGTTTGCAAGCATCAACCAGTGAGCCCGCCCAGCCCACCCCGTCTCGGGGCGACCCCGAGCCTCGCCCTGCACAGACGGGGTGACCTTGTCTTCCTCTGCTTGTTTGCAGCGTCTGCATTTTCCGAGAGGTACCTGGGCCTCCACGGACTTGACAACAGAGCATACGAGGTAGGCACTCCGCAGCCGCCCTTGGCCAAAGGGCGAGTTTCATCAAGTCGGTCACCTCTTCTCAGAGTTCCTCGCCCCCCACCTCCAGCCCAGCCCGAACCCACACTCCCTCCCACCTGTGGGTCCTGTCCTCTCCTCCCACCCCCCTTCCACCACTCTGTGCACCGAGGGACTGTGACCCCTCGGGTTGGTGTTATTTCCATTCCGGAACTTGGAGGACAAGGGAGACAGTGGGGAAGCTGGACGGAGGAGTCTGTCCCGTGGTCCTCAGATGTGGGGTGGAGGTGTTGGGGAGCCTGGTTCTGCTTTGGGAGAACCCACTATTGCTCGGGGGACAGAAAACTCCTGTGATGCTTCCCACTAAGTCACCCTGTTCAGTGACTCCGGGGACATCCCACACGCATGCCTTCACCTGGGCACAGTGAGGGTTGTACTGAGGGGCAGAGTGGCGGCCCGAGGTTGACACTGTAGCAGGGTGGCCCGAGGTTGACACTACAGCAGGGTGGCCCGAGGTTGACACTACAGCAGGGTGGCCTGGGACTCTGCTCCGGGACCCTGCCCTTCTCCTCAGGGGCCTCCACGCGCACACGCCGCCCCCGCGGTGCGCCCGCTCACTGTCCCCTCGCCCTGCTTGTGCAGATAACCAAGGTGGCCCATCGGGTGTCGGCGCTGGAAGGACAGCAGTTTCTCATCATTCACGCCACCGCCGACGGTGAGGACCGAGGGCTGGGACTCACCGCGAGCTCCGTGAAAGCAGCAGCCCTCCTGGTGTTCCGGGTTTGCACAAACACTTTCCTCCTTTTTTTTATTTTTTAACAGAAAAAATCCATTTCCAGCACACGGCAGAACTCATTACGCAGCTAATCACGGCAAAGGCTAATTACAGCTTACAGGTACGAGTGCGCCCACCTGCTCTGTCCCCGCTCGGAGAGGGGCCGCCCTCCCCACGGAGAGGGAACGCCCGCCAGCCCGTTTCTGCCGCCCACTCACCTGTGCACCGGGTGGGCCACGGGCAGGAGCATCCCACAGGCAGATTAGCACCGGCTTATTGCTCTAGTGGTTACGATAGTTCGGTCCTGCACACAGGAGTTTAAACCCCTTTAGAACGCCCCTCGCCCTCCCCCTCCCCCAGCCAGCAGCCGTGCCACCCACGGTGAGGTCGCGCTGTCCTTGGCATGTGACCCCAGCGTTGACGAGGGCAGCCTTAGCGGCCCCGAGCCTCCTGTCCGGCACCCTCTGGCCAATGTCCACTACGTGCTAGTCGGGTGGTCCCGAGTCCCCTGTGGCTGAGCTGTCCTTAAAGACGGCCGCCTCCCACAACCACCCTCAGCCGCCTCTCTGGCCTCAAGTTCACTCACAGCCCAGGCCCCTTCCCGCAGCACCCTGTTCCTTCGGTAAAACAGGTGTCACCTGATGTCTTTCTGGGTCCAGGGATAAGGGGGGGATCTCCTGTACACCCTGTCCCTCAGGGAGCACCCTGCATGCCCCCCGCCTGCCTCCGCTCCCCATTCCCTGCGTCGCCGTCCTGCGCAGGGTCCCACGTGGGCTGGGGGACAGGGAGCGCTCCCCGCCCAGGTGTTGGCTCAGGTGTTGATGACTGGGTAGGAAGGACGTGGTGAGTGTTACACACGCGTCCCTGTGACATGTGCAGGTCACATAGACCTGGCAGGTGCCGGGGTGGTTTTACACACAGGATGTCTCATGGCAGACGAAAGGGAGGTGTCTGTGGCTCACATGGACCACCCCCTTGACAGAGGCTAAAGCAGCCAGCTGCTGAGCTGTGCACACCCCAGACCCTACTCGGGGTGATGGAAGGGACCCACAACAACGCCACACTCGTAGGCACGGACACCGTAGCAGGTCCTCAGTGAACTGGTAGCAGGAGCCCTGGGGACCCAGGGCAGGAGACATACTTCCTACTAATTCTCTTTTGCTTCTAATATATTCCTCTTAGACTCTTAGAAGTTTAAATGACATGTGATAGCCCCATGACGTCATTAATAGATACTCTAGAATGAAGTGAAGGCCATCCTTCAAAGACATGAAAAGGAAGACAATTCAAAACACAGGGGGCATCCTGGTATCATGGAAAGAACAGGGCTTCTGGGTCCCTTAGACTTGGCTTGAATCGGCTGGGACAGGCACCTTTCTGTGGAAGTGGCGCAGCGCCCCTAGGGTCCCGGAGGTGTCCCTACACCTGGCGAGGGAAGAAGTAGCTCCCACCCTGTGAGCGCCCCCCGCGTTCCAGGCCTCATGCTCAGAGCTTCCCGGGGCTGTAGCGTGTAAGTCCCACAAGACTGTCCAAGCGAGGTTCTCTTCTGGGGTCACCTCCGCTTGGCCCAGCCGGAACGGTACCCATCCACGGCCACGCGGGGCGTGAGTGCTGAGCCAGGAAGCCAAAGCAGGGCGTGGCCCAGGACAGTGGGAGGCTTCCCACGCCCACGCGGGTTCTAGGGAGGCTCCGAGTTCTGGCCAGTGGTGTGGGAGCCGCGGTCCCTGGAGACCTGGGTCCCGCGCACGTGTTCATGTTGCAGATTCAAGACCGTGCGGAGCCCCCGCCCCCCCAACCCAGTGATTTCCAGCGCAGCCCGCCGAGTGCGCCCCAGCGCGCGGCTGAGCCTCCGGGGGAGCGGGCGCTGGGCTCTGGGGGACGTTCACCCTGCGGTGCCTCCCACCTGCCCGCGGGCTGCGTGAGGCTCTGCTCCCGCCTCCGCCCCGCGCTCCGCCGGCAGGGGGGGGGCCCTCACTTCTCCCCTTTCCTTGCAGATCTACCCGGACGAAAGCCATTACTTCCACAGCGCCCCCCTCAGGCAGCACCTCCACCACGCCATCATCAACTTCTTCGTGGAGTGCTTCAGGGTTCAGGACAAAACCCCAGCACCCCCGGCGAAGGAGGAAGAGGAGGACTGAGCCCCAGCACAGCCCAGCGCCCGCGGGGCTCTCCCCGGACCAGAGTCGGGCTGGGAACCCCGCCCCCCGTCCCGCCCGCGCTGGGGTGGGGGGCAGGGAGCGTTCCCGGTCCTTAGCATGTGCGCCGCGGTCCCCAAGGCAGTTTTGCTCCTTCCCGGGTGGAAATGCCCCCTGGCTCCCCAGGGCTTCCAGGGAGCCCGGGCCGGCCTGACAGCACCTCCTGCTGGCCGCGGAGCTGCAGGTGCACCCCGCCCGCCCCAGGGAACCCGGAGGCGCAGTGAGGACCCACCCCGCCCGCCCGGAGCGCCGTCCGCGGCCCAGCCGTCCTGCCTGCTGCAACCCGGGCCTGGGAACGAGCAGAGCCCAAGTGTTCCAAGGGCGCTGCCGCCTCCGGGGCTCCTCCTGCTCCGGGGCGCGCTCCCTCCGCGCCCCGAGCTGCGGCGTTGCGCGCCGTCTGGCTGTCGCTCCGCTAATGCTTAGCCTATGGCATCCGCTGGTGTTTCCATGGTTGTCACCGACGCCGTGCGCGGTCGTGGGTTCTTTCGGTGCCCGTGGGTCTGGTTGGTTGGTTGGTTGGTTGGTTTGTATCCTTGGTTTTGCTTTGTCTTCTTCAGTCCGGTGTGTGAGCGCCGCCTGTTTGGATGGAGAGCCAGACGGGAAGCAGCTAACTGGCCCCTCAAGGTCGGCCTTAGGCAGCGGGGAGAGACTGCGGAGATCCAATACTATTTACTACAGCGAGGACACGCCTCAATAAAAGTTCTCTCCGGCCCGCTGCCTTAGGGTTCGGCTTAGTCTCCTTGTCCGTTTCCATAATGTCCTTAAACCGGTCCTGTTCCTCCCTGATGAGTTGTCAAGTCTGTTAGATGCCATTTGGTTAATGAAAAAAAAAAACATAGACAAAGTGCTGGCTCCACCCCAGGCCTGTCCCCTGGGCTCGGGACGGGAACCCTTGAGGAAGGCGTGGGCCTGTGTGGGCATCGCTTTGGCGTCCGTCCTGCCGCCCTCCAGTAGCCTCGTGATGCTGTACGGTGCCCTCCTCCACCAGACATGCCAAGGGTGCCCTGTGTGTTCCTTTTGTTGTACATAAAGACGGGCATGGCTGCCTGTGCCCCGGCCCCTCCCAGGCTCCCACCCTGCGCCCCCCCTGGCTGGTCCGCTCTCCACAAGCACTATTGGGGAACCCACCACTCCGGCTGCGCCCCTGGGCTCGTCTGCAGCCTGAATGTTGGTCCTGACGCGGGGTCCTCGGCACCTCAGCAGAGAGACCGACCCCCTGTCTGGGTTTCCTTCCGTGGTGTTTGTGGAGAGCGTCGACCTGCTGACCTGGGGACCCCTGGGAAGCGACCTGGCCGTGCTTTTGCTGTTTCGGTGGGTCTGAAGGGGGCGCCAGCTCCGGCCAGGAGACCTGGTGGGAGGGGCGTGAGAATGTGGCATGGCGCGTGTGCTCATCCATGGAATAAAACATTATTTTACCACTCGGAGAGCCCTTTTCTTCTCCAGCACGGCCCCTTAGAGAGTGAGCGCAGCCTCGGGTCGTCTCAGGTGCCCGCGGGGCCCTGGCGGAGGTGCTGCCCGTCCCCCGGAGCCGAGCAGAGGCACCCACCAGCCCCGAGTGCCTGTAGACAGGACAGGACTGGCCAGACCTCCTGAAGCCCAGATTTGTCCGAGAAAACGACTCTGAGCTCCGCCTGGAGAGTTCTAGGGCGAAGACCGGTGTCCCGACCCCAGAGGACAGCTGGGCTCCGCTCAGGCCACGGCACTGCCCCCCCAAGCCGCCACCAGCACCCCGCGCCTGCCGGAAACACTCAGTCCAGCTGGTGCTGGTTCAGTGAGTCTGCTCTGCACAGAGCCAGCGGACAGCAGGGCTCAGCGGGGGAACCGGCACCCGGAGCGGACGGCCCCTCGGAGAAACTGGCTCAGTGCCCACCCTGGGGTCACCCGAACCGTACCCCCTTCTCAGCCAGGAATCAATACAGAGTCTGGGTGGGCAGCCCCCTGGGTGCTGGTCCTGAGAGGCCTGGCTCCTTCTGCAAACCACAAGCTCTGAACCAGCCGTCACCATCTGAATTCTGCGCCCCACCCCCCGACACACACGGACGGGTTAGCTCTAAAGCCCAGCGAAGGCAGGGAGTCAGCCCAAATCACCCAGGAAGCTGCCGCCGCCTGTCCCTTCCACCGGCTGCGCTGTTCCCTCTGCAGCCTGGGCCTCCAGGTCTAGACTGTCCCCCTGGGGTTCTCATGTCACCAGCATCGGGGCCAACGTGGAGCCAGGCTAGCTGGAAAGGGGGGTCAGGGTCTAGATTGTGAACAAGCAACAAAGCTGCGGAGGTTTCCGAGTCCTGTGGCGTCAGGCCTGTTTTCTAGGGCGTCTCCGCGAATCGGCCCAGCGGCACCCGCGAGCTGGTGCGGACACGGGCCGCAGCGGCCTCACCGCTACACCCACGGCCCTCCAACGGGGGCCCGCGTCAGCCCCTCCTGGCTCTTTGTAAAATAGACCCCAGGCCCCGGCACAATGACACACGTGCACACACGCGTGTTCGAGAAGCACCACACGGAAGTCCATGGCTCCATCTGAGCTTGCCTCCCCTTCCAGCACCACAGAACCCGAGCAGGTGACCCCAAGGCATAGTGTTTGGTCCCCAAATATTCGGAATCCTGGGCAACTATTTCTGATGCTAAGAACAGGCCTCTGGCCCTGGCTGGAGGCTCAGTTGGTTGGAGCGCCATCCCGCACCCCAGAAGGTGACAGGTTCGATCCCCAGCAGGGCACATACCCAGGTTTCGTTTTGATCCCTGGTCGGGGTGCATGGGGAGGCAACCGATTAATGGTCCTCTCACACCAATGTCTCTCTCTCTCTCTCTCTCTCTCTCTCGCATGCGCGCTTCCTCTTTCTAAAATCAATTTTTAAAAAAAGAAAAGAAATCCCAGGTCGCTGGATGGCAGCATTTCAGACAAGTAGGAGAGGGGCTGCCCCGCTCCAGCCGGTCCCTGAACCAGCTCAGCCCTGACCAGCCTCCACGGCCTCCGCCACAGTCCCTCCCTCCCTGAACTTCCTTTACATCTAAATCCAGGGTTCACTCTCTACAGGACTAAAGAAGCCTCCAGAACCAGCTACTTCTCTGAGGCTTCTCCACTTCCTGCTTCCCGTGGGCCAGGGTCCACACCCCTTAAACACCACTTGTAACCCCACAACCTCTAGGTCCCAGTTTATTCTGGCAGACATACCTCCCACTAGTGCCCCCACACACGCCGTCCTGCATGTGCCCCCGCGTGCTCACACGCCCGCATCCCCGCCCCCCGGGCCGGCCCTCTGCCCCAGGGACAGGCCTGGAGGAGGAGGGGGGCAGGTGTGACCGCGGGTCACCTGAGCCCCTGGCACAGCACGCAGGCATCTGTCTTGGGGGGCCTCCTGGCCCCGTGAACCCCTGGAGCTGGTCCTAAGACCTGGGGGCCTTCTATTAGAGTAAAACTCCAGCCCCAAAAGCGGAGATACATCCGCGGGTCCCCGATGGGCCTCAGTGCGGGGCCAGGCCAGCAAGGGGCAGTGCCCAGCTGTCCCCCAGCCCCAGGCAGTTTCTCCTGTGTGTCCGGGGTTCAGAACCAGAAATGGGATGGCAGCCCCTGCACTCGCCACCAGCCAGCCACCCACTGCCTCCCTGATACCAGTCTTCCCGATGGCTCCATCTGGCACGACCCTCACAGGGAGGGAGGACAGTGACGGTGACGGTGACGGGAGGAACCAGCCATGACCCTGACGCAGGCGCGGCCTCACCTGTTCGCTGCCATCAGAGCCCCCTTGTGGGGCCAGTGGGGTGAAAGCAGTCAGGCAGGTCTGAGCCCGGTGAGCCCCCCACCCCCGGCCTCAAGGGACGAGGCCAGGAAAAAGCGTGTCCCCCGGCCGGAGAGACGTGGCCTTGCTGAGAGCCCTTCCGGATGGCTGGGTCTCTGTGGACCTGAGGCACATCCACACCTGCAGAGAACTGTGACCGGAGCTTATTTAAGGCCCTGGCCGGGTGGCTCCGTGGTTAGAGCATCGACCCGCTGCACCAAGGCCGCAGGTTTGATTCCCGGTCAGGGCCCATGCAAGAATCAGCCAATGAAATGAATGCATGAGAAGTGGAACAACATCCCTCTCTCTCACATCAATAAGTACAAATAATGTTTTTAAGTTTATTGGAGCCAAACTGGCAACAATGTCGGGAAGTAAGATCTCCAATGCTCCGAGAATAAGAGTTGGCGGTTTCTCTCCTGCATTGGGGATGAAGGAGGGGACGTGGAGGCGGCAGGGACTGGACCTGGGGACAGTTAACAGGGCTGGGTGCTCTCCCGAGGTGGTTACAGTGTCTCATCGGTGCACAGAAGCAAGGGCAGGGCGGGTTTGAGCGAAGAGAACCCCGTTAGTAGAGACGTACATGCCTGGGGCATGACTCCCCCATGACCTGCCTAGGAAGGGATTTATGACCAGATCACGCTGAGGTCCCGTTCCCGTCTCCCCCTTGTCCCCGGTGTCTGACAGCGAAGACATCTCCTGTTGTGGGACTTTGCTCTGCTTTCTGGCTTCGCTTGAGGGAATGAAAGTGCCCAGAAGGGATTGGTACCAGCTGACAAATTCGAAAGCCAAGCAAGAGTGTGGTGAGCAACCTCCTGGGCCTCCGATGCTGCCCCGCGGGCTGGCAGTTCAGCTTTTACAGAGACCTGACCCGGGTCAGGACAGGGGCGCAGGGCCGGGCCATGCACAGCGAGGCAGGACCCCAGCAGGTCCCATGCAGGGCCTCGGCCACCCCACCCCCACCCCCACCCCCACCCCCAGAGTCCCCTTGCTGCTCTCTAAGACGCCAGCAGAGGGCAAGCGCAGGGCCATGTCCAGCCGGCAGCTGGGACTGGAGCTCGGTCCCGGGAGCGAGGGTGAGGCCACCGTGGGAGGCCGGGTACTGCATGCGGGAGTGTCAGGGAGCCTGGAGCGGACATTAGGACCCTTGTCCCCCAGTGCAGGGCGGGGCCAAGGGGCTCAGGGGCAGGCGACTGACAACTCCAGTGACAGGCGGGCAGAACCGAGGACGGAGGTCGGGGAAGCTCAGAGCTGCGTCCCGGTGGGAGGGGCTGGAATGACCACTGAAACCCGTGGGCGCCCCTCGGCCGCTGCGCGCGCCCAGCCCTCGGTCTCAGGCCCGCGGGCCGCCGCCTCCAGCGTCCGCGGCTGCAGCTTGTGGACGGAAAAGGGGACATTTCACAGGGCGACCTGTTCATAAATTCCCGCCTGGGTTCAAGGTGGGAGTCTCACCCAGGTCTGTAACTTTGTGAGTCAAAGGCTTATGTGTGTGTGTGTGTGTTCTTCCATCTTTTTTATTTTTCACGTCATATGAGAAGCTGTTTTTTAATTGATTTTTATTTTTTATTTTTTTATTAATTTATTTTGGTTACAGAGGTTTCCCCTCCCTCCCCCCGACGGATTTCCCCTCCCCCTCAAAGGCTTACCTTTGCCTGAAGCCAGCCCAAGGCACCTGGGTTCACCCACCTCCGAGATGCGAACAGTAATACCCTGGGGGGTGTGAGCACCCCCAGGAGCGCTCGCAACCTCAGCGACCCCGTAACCCCACCCCCCACCCCCTGACGTTTCCTCCTTCGTCTCAGCTGCATAAAAGAAACGGTGAGCCCTGGCCGGCTTGGCTCAGCGGTTGGACCCTCGGCCTGCGGTCCAGAGAGACCCGGGTTCGGTTCCCGCTAAGGGCATGTACCTCGGTTGCAGTGTGTCCCCGGCCCTGGTTGGTCGTGCAGGAGGCGGCCACTCGATGTGTCCCTTTCATGTCGATGTTTCTCTCTCTCTCTCTTCCTCTCTCTCCCTCCCGCTCTATCTGAACAAAAAAATGGGAAAATGTCCTCGGGGTGAGGATTTAAAAAAAAAGAAACAGTGAATGTTACTGGCGTCTTCCTCCCCAGCTTAGGTCATTAGTTTGGCTCAAATAAACTCTTGTTAGCGGTTCTTCACAGGTGTGGACGTTTCTTAGGTCCACAAGCTATAGCAAGAAGCCAATCAGAGACGCCGAGCACCCCACCCCCACCCCCACTGGGCCCGGGAGCAGGGGGCGCGGGGAGCCAACCCGCCGGCAGGTGGCAGCATCGTCCTGAGCTACCTGGCTCCCTCGGATTATTCCAAAGAGGCTGCTTGGGTTCCAAGCGCTTCAGGGATGCCCAAAGCCACTGCGTTGCTAATTTTCCAGAGCTAATTTTGTAACTGTAGGGGGCATTCGCAATTTCGCCATGAATTGTGCAATCTGGTCACCCGTTCTTAAGCTCTGACACTATTGTACCCAAACTCAGAACATAACTTTGTTCTGTTTTATATACAAGCAGAGAGACTACCAAAAGCTCAAACCGGTTTGGGGGAAACAGATCGTGTGTCTGAGGCTATGAGTGTGAGAGCGTGTGTGAGTAGAACAGTGTGTGCAAGCACGTGCGTGCGTGTGTGTGTGTGTGTGTGTGTGGAGAGGATTAAAAAAAAAGAAGACAGTTTGAGGCCATTTGTTGAAAATGCATGAAGCCCGTAGCCCGGTTGGTGTGGCTCAGTTGGCTGGGCGTTGTGCCATGCATCAAGAGGTCACGGGTTTGATCCCCGGTCAGGGCACATGCCCAGATTTGGGGCTCGATCCCCAGCAGGGAGTCTGCCTCCTGGCAGGAGGCGGACGAGTGATGCTGTTTCTCATGGATGTGTGTCTCTCTCATTTCCTCTCAAATCAATTTTTAAAAAGGAGAAAATGCATGTAAGAGCAGCAGGTGGTGACTGAAAGAAACTGCCGTCAAGGCATATTTTCAAGAGCTCAACAGGTCATTGTCTCCCGTGAAATCCCCACGCTCGGGTCAAGCATGGGACAGATAAGCGTGAGGGTGTTGGCCCCTCCTTTTCAGACATCTCGCGTGGCGGTTGCCTTGCCCTTTGTGGCAATGACTCCACGTGGCCCGGGCGTCAGCGAGGGGAGAGACACGCAAAGCTTCGAGGTCCCGACTGCGCCGCAGCCCCACATGGACATTGACGCCTCCCGGCCTGGGATTCATTCTGTAACAATTTCTAACATGCGCACCTCCCAAAGCGTGTTCGGGGGTCAGATGGTGGGGGTGCGCTGCAAGGACGGACTCGTGCGTAGATCATGAGTACTTCGAGGCAGACGGTTCAGAAACTGGGTCACGAAGCAGATGCAGTTGCAGAGATGCACCCGGCGACCACGCCGCGGGAGCGCCGCTCGACCCGGCAGCCGGGTCCAGTGTGCTCAGCGCGTCCGCGCGGCAGAGCGGCTGTGAGTTCGAGGTCACAGGCAGCGCGCGGCTGATGCGGGAAGACTCAGCGGGAAGACTCAGCGGCCTGTGCGCGCAGCCGCTCCCGTTGGGAGCAGGCAGAGGGGGCGGGGCGGGGCGGCGGGACGCGCGGTTCCCACGGAGCAGTGCCGGCTGACCCGTGAATGTCCCTCCCAGACACCCTTCCCTAGGACAAGGGTCACTAGAAAATATTTTGCCTTGAAATTACTTAAAACTGATCCGGCCTGATGGGTCATATACATTATGCAAAAATGATGGGATGACAAGGAATCACTCAGTTCTAAGTTCAAAAGTACATTTATTTAAAATCTGGTCAGAACATCAATATAAAAGGAAAGCTTATAAGGAATAAAAACAATCAAAGTACAAAACACTTCGAATCTTCAAATCCATAATTTAGGGAGAGCAAGTCTTATTTACACCCCTTTACCCTCAGCTCGGCTCCATCAAGTGTGAAAACATTTAAAAACCTGGCAAAGGAATCGTAAAACCTTGATGTGGCTCTTAAAAGTCATTTAATACAAAACATAATTTATGTTGCTCAATAAAATCACACATCTTAAAAGATGTAGTATAATCGTCACTGTTCTCCGGCTTGAACGCGCCTGTCCCTGTGGCTGCAGCTGGAAAACCCTGCGCTCCGGACCGGGCGCCGCGGGGACAGTCAGTTGAATTTATACGTAAGCAGCTGAGGAAAACCACCTCCCGAGACGGGTCCTGACGGCCACCTGCGTCCTCCTCCGCATTCCGCCCCACCCCCAGGGCGCGCTGCCTCCCTCCGCGGTGCGCAGCAGCGGTCCAGGCGCAGCCGCCTCGGGCCCTGGCCCCCGACCTTCACCACCCCCCCACCTTCACCACCCCCCCACCTTCACCACCCCCCGACCTTCACCACCCCCCCACCTTCACCACCCACCCGGCACAGCGCATCTGGCTGTGTTCAGGCCACAGGGATGAAAAAGGCCTGAGATGATACCCCGAGTCCCCAAATCCCTCTTAAGGCAACTCCCCCAAGTGAAGGCAACACAGAGCGCCCCGCACTGTGAACGTGAGCGGGAGGAGTGTGCAGAGACGCACACGAGTGGAAACAAGGCTCCCTCTGCAAACAGCCCCTGGGCCCCGCTCTCCTCCCCCTGGTCGGGACGCCCACAGCCGGGGCAGGGCGGGGTCGGCCCGGCACCCACAAAGGATATGACTCGTAGTCCAGCGTCTGCGTGAGCACCCCCGTGAGCACGAACTCTGCGTTGTGGACATCTGAAAGCGGCGGAAACACGCAGCGTGAAGGGAGTGCGTGCCCACGCACCCCGCGCACCCCGCGCGCGCGCCCGCCGCACGTACCTATGCCGCGGGCGAAGTACTCCCGACACAGGTGGAGGTCGTTCTCGCAGGAGATCAGGATGACCTCGGACAGGCTCTAGGGGAGAAAAGCGGTGTCGGTGCTGGGCGGGGCCGCAGGCCGGGGGGCCGCCCTTCCGCTGCGCCCACCTTATTCTGCTTGTGCTCCAGGAGCTTCCGGAAGGACGGGGGCTTGGACAACACCTTTCCGCCCGCACACTCCACAATGGCTTTCATGGTGGACAGACTGGGGCAAATCCCAGGCGTGATGTAGAAATACTTTGCCTAAAAGTGAAAATACGGGCACGATATTTTTCCCATGCTTGGACTTTTCATTTTTTAGTTAATCCTCACCAGAGTGTATTTTTCCATTGATTCTTAGAACAGAGTGAAAGGGAGGGAGGGAGAGACATCGATTGGTTGCCTCCCACACGACCCTGACTGGGGCCAGGGACTCAAACCTGCAACCCAGGTGCATGCCCTGGACTGGGGATCGAACCCAAGACCCTCCCTTGCGGGCCGACGCCCTAACCTGAGCCACACGGCAGGGCTCCTTTGACCTTTAGAGCACACCATTTTTCGTAATTGTTTCTCCTGGCAATTCTGACCATGTCCCACCGTGGCCCCGCCTCGGGGACCCGGGGTGCCAACGGGAAGGTAAGCGCGTTCCTGTCAGGTCTGGCGGCACAGAGAGGAACCGAGCGCTTGGTCCTGACGGACTGGAAGCGCTCTGTGACGTGAGCCAGAGGACAGACCCTTTTGTCCACTGCTATGAAATCCCACTTGGCATCCCGTCCCCCACGATTCTGCGCCCAACAGCGGACGAGGCTGGCGGACTCCTCTGCTGTCTACACATCTCGGGGGCTCCCAAGAAGTGACGATGGTGACAACGCCCCTGTCTGGCACCCGGCTCCTAAGGCGGCCACAAAGTACCCTCTGTTTAGCGACTCCCGGGGAAACTCAAGCTCTAGAAGCACCGGCCTGTTCAGGCTCGGCGCACCCTCCCTGTTGCCCGCCATCCGGGTGTCCAGCTGGCTCCTGGACCGGCTGAGCGCCGCGGCCGTGCACGAGCCCAGACGCCTGCCCCGCTGGAGGCGGCCCTGCGCCAGCTCCCACCGCCGCTCCCGGCAGAGGCGGGCGGCCTCGGCACCGAGTCGTGAGCACGTTCTCTGCGCCCTGCACGTCGCAAGGCCATTTCCAGTTCTGCTCCTCAGCGCCACGGCCTCCTCCGGATTCCACTCCAGAGGGCGCCCTGGGCGCGCGGCCCGGGCTGCCACAGGGCGCCGGCTGCCCGCCAAGCCACTGCCCCGTCCGCGCACTTCTCCAGGCCTCCTCCCGAGTCACCTTGAAGAGTGGAGAGACGTGCGCCCTTTTCAAGGACTCCTCCAGGCTGAAGGAGAACAGCACCTCGGCCTCGGCATCCCGGAGGAGGTAGGTCTGCTCGTCTGCAAGACAAGACGGGGCGCTCAGCGCGGGTGGAGCGGAGCGCAGGGCCCGGCCACCTCCGCAGCGCGTCCCGCCGTCCCGACCCCCGCGTCCCGGAGGAGGTAGGTCTGCTCGTCTGCAAGACAAGACGGGGCGCTCAGCGCGGGTGGAGCGGAGCGCAGGGCCCAGCCACCTCCGCAGCGCGTCCCGCCGCCGTCCCGCCCCCCGCGGCCACTCGCCCCCAGACAGGCAGGCGCGCCCCACTGGCCAGGGCCTACTTAACCCCCGGAAGCACTGGAAGCCACGCCCACCTCGCCCCTGACCCCGCCCTCCGCCCTCCCCCCTCCTTGCGCCCGCCCCCCACCCCTCACGCCCAGGGAAGACCAGCCTAGTGAGGGGCTTCATTCAGGTCCTGGTGCCTGTGAACGGCCCAAGGTCCCCAGGGACACTCGACTTGATTAGTCAAATGGTATCGATTTACCAAAACACACACCCCTTTGAAGTACATGAAAGTATACAGCGATGTATAAAGAACAGTTTCACCGAGTTCTGAAGACTTCTGAGGATTTTTAATGGACTCGTTTCAGTTTGCGCGTGAACGCAAACAGCCGAGTTAAAGACCACGAACGTCTGCGTGTCCTTGTGAACACGTCTGCCCTCATCTCACGACCGAGCAGGGCGCGGGGTCCAGCCGGCCACGCACACGCCCAAGGCCCGCGACAGGGAGGGGCCCGCCCAGGCGACACTGCTGTCAGGGACCCTGCTCCCCATCCTGCCCCCATTTTCACTGATTTTAGATAGAGTGGAGGCAGGAAGAGATGAGAAGAGAGAGAGAAACATGGATGTGAGAGACACGTCAATTGGTTGCCTCCTGCACGACCCCAACCGGGCCGGGGATGGAACCTGCAAGCCAGGTGCGTGCCCTTGACCAGGCATCAACCCTGCGACCCTTGGTGCCCGGGCCAGCACTGTAACCACGGGGCACATGGATGGAGCTTAATGATTCCTACAAACACAGAACCAGCCCACCAGCCAGCCCAGGGCAGTGAGGCGGACGCCGGGAATGTCTGTGCAGGAGGAGAAAGTGGGGGATTACAAAGTGCACAAGCAGAGCCTTGGGCAGCTCCTGCGGGCGCCCCCGAAGGGAAGGGTCCAGAAGTAAACTTCCAGGACAGAGGAGAGCCAGGGCGCCGGCCGGAGCTGCAGGGAGCTCCCCAAGGGGCAGTCAGTGGGAAGAGGAAGAACCCACATAGGGAAGCAGAGATGTTTGCTGCATGGAAATGAACTCAGGACAAAAGCTTTCAAGTGTCTTTGTCATTAACACCAAGGTGTTACCCTGGCCTGTGGCTCAGTGGTCAGAACACCGGCCCATGGACCAGAGTCCTGGGTTCGGTTCCCACTAAGGGCACATACCTCACACTAAGGGCACGTACCTCAGTTACAATTTGTCCCCGGCCCCGGTTGGGGTTGTGTGGGTGGCAGCCAGTTGACGTGTCTCTCTCACATTGATGTTTCTCTCTCTTCCTCCCTCTCTCCCTCCTGCTCTATCTGAAGATTAAGTGCAAAAATGTCCTCGGGTGAAGATAAAAAAAAAAAAACTAAAGTGTTACCCTGGCCTGTGGCTCAGAGGCTAATTAGAGAGTCGGCCCTCACGCCAAAGGGTCGCAGGTATATGTCCAGTCCAGGGCACGTACCTGGGTTGCAGGTTTGATCCTCTGCTCTGGTCGTGGTCCCGAGGGAGGCAACCAACTGCTGTGTCTGCCTCACATGGATGTTTCTCTCTCCCCTCCCTCCTCTCCCCCCTTCCACTCTATAAAAAAAGTCAATGGAAAAACATCTGCGGATGAGAATTAACAAAACAAACAAGCGAAGAGGCCACCGCTGCTCACCAATAAACTTCTGCGACTTGAAGCTCTCGTCCAGCCACTCGGGGGTCACAATGTGCTTCACCACAGACACAGCCGTCAGGAACTTGACCGTGCGTGTCACCTTGCTGGCGATGAGGTGCGTGCACTTGGGCGTGGACTCGGCAATGTCGCCACCGAGAATGTAGAGCTTCTGCAGGTCACGGGCAGACGAGAGAGGAGTGAGCCCGCCCGGCCCGGGCACAGGCCCAGGCTCAGGAGCACGGCCGGGCACACGCACCAGGCCCAGGCTCAGGAGCATGGCCGGGCACACGCACCAGGCCCAGGCCCAGGAGCACGGCCCAGGAGCACAGGACCAGGCCCAGGAGCACGGCCCAGGCCCAGGCACAGGACCAGGCCCAGGACCAGGCCCAGGAGCACGGCCCAGGCACAGGCCCAGGCCCAGGAGCACGGCCCAGGCACAGGACCAGGCCCAGGAGCACGGCCCAGGCACAGGCCCAGGCCCAGGACCAGGCCCAGGAGCACGGCCCAGGCCCAGGACCAGGCCCAGGCTCAGGAGCACGGCCCAGGCACAGGCCCAGGCCCAGGACCAGGCCCAGGAGCACGGCCCAGGCACAGGCCCAGGCCCAGGACCAGCCCAGAGCACGGCCCAGGCACAGGCCCAGCCCATGGACCATGCCCAGGACACGGCCCAGGCACAGTGCCCGGCCCAGGCTCAGGAGCACGGTCCCAGGCCCAGGCACATGCCCAGCCCAGGAGCACGGCCCAGGACCAGGCCCAGGCCCAGGAGCACGGCCCAGGCACAGGCCCAGGCCCAGGACCAGGCCCAGGAGCACGGCCCAGGCACAGGCCCAGGCCCAGGACCAGGCCCAGGAGCACGGCCCAGGCACAGGCCCAGGCCCAGGACCAGGCCCAGGAGCACGGCCCAGGCACAGGCCCAGGCCCAGGCTCAGGAGCACGGCCCAGGCACAGGCCCAGGCCCAGGAGCACGGCCCAGGCACAGGACCAGGCCCAGGAGCACGGCCCAGGCACAGGCCCAGGCTCAGGAGCACGGCCCAGGCACAGGCCCAGGCCCAGGAGCACGGCCCAGGCACAGGCCCAGGCCCAGGAGCACGGCCCAGGCCCAGGACCAGGCTCAGGCCCAGGCACAGGCCCAGGCCCAGGACCAGGCCCGGCACACGCACCAGGCACAGGCACAGGCCCAGGCCCAGGCCCAGGACCAGGCTCAGGAGCACGCACCAGGCTCAGGAGCACGGCCCAGGCACAGGCCCAGGCTCAGGAGCACGGCCCAGGCACAGGCCCAGGCCCAGGCCCAGGCCCAGGCACAGGCCCAGGCCCGGCGCACCCGACTCCACACTCAGCAGTGAAAGGAGGGCCCACAGGGCCTGTCTCTGTGACCCGTTTCAATAATTCGGGACCTAATGCAAATTCTGTGTCGGGCCAACAGCGCCGCCCTGTGGGCAGGAGGGCCTGGGCTGCTCGTCCGTGGTGAGCGGCAAGCACACCCAGACCACCTGGGCTGAAATGCGTGGTCTGGAGACGCACAGTTCATTGACCGTCTCTATTTTAACAGCGACGGCATGAACAGATACAACCATGACAAATGGTCTTGACCACTGTACTGAGAATTAAAAGTAGAAAAGTGAAATCACAGTAAATGCGTAACACTAGCATTTATCATCATTTCCTTTCCTTAAAAACAACTCCGAGTGAAACGCATGAAGGCCGCAGGACAGGTGGTCACAGACCCAGCCCGCCTCCCCCAGCTGTGGCCAGCTGCACAGGCACACCTGGACTGTGGGCACTGGCATAGGCACACCCGGACTGCGCACACAGGCACCGGCACACCCGGACTGCGCACACAGGCACCGGCACACCCGGACTGCGCACACAGGCACCGGCACACCCGGACTGCGCACACAGGCACCGGCACACCCGGACTGCGGGCACCGGCACCGGCACACCCGGACTGCGGGCACCGGCACAGGCACACCCGGACTGCGGGCACCGGCACAGGCACACCCGGACTGCGCGCACCGGCACAGGCACACCCGGACTGCACACACAGGCACCGGCACACCCGGACTGCGGGCACCGGCACAGGCACACCCGGACTGCGGGCACAGGCACACCCGGACTGCGGGCACCGGCACACCCGGGCACCAGCACAGCTGCCGGCACAGCTCCCGGCCAGAGGACCGGAGGACAGCCCCACACGGGCCCTGGGCAGCCTGCACTGTGCAGAGGGCTGTGCCCGCCCGAAGCCCCTCTCCCCAAGAAGGAAGCGGGCGTGTGAGTGTGGACCAGCTCCTGGCAGAGGGAAGCCTGGCGTTCACCACCCCCCAGCAAGCAGCAGCCCTGCGGGCGGGCGGGCACAGTCACCTTGAGGTACTGCTGGACCTGGGCAGGCTCGAACCCAGTGAACAGCACCGAAGGCGTCAGCTCCGGAGCCAGCTTCTTAGTGGGCGGCGGCACGTCTTCAATTCTGCAGAACAAACAGATGCCAACCCCACTGCCCCCTGGAAGCAGTGGTCTGGAGGCGGCCATGGCTCTGGCACCCTGCCTGAAGGGGGCACGGGGAGGGGCCTGTCCTTTCCTCCCCCTTAGGGAACTCACCCAAAGACAGCCCACACCTGCCTGGCAGGACCACTCCCCCAGGCTCACAGGAGTCTCCTCTGCCTCACCGGTCCCCTCCCCTCCCCACCTCACTGACAGTTATTTAATTGATCGTAAAGAGAGGCAAACGTTCAAGGTGGTCCCGTCCCAAGTTTCCCCATCCCCTTTGCTGCTGCTCTACCCTGCCCAGCCCCACCCCCACCCTGCCCCACCCCCAGCCCCGCCCAGCCCCGCCCCACTGCCCCCACCCTGCCCCACTGCCCCCACCCCAGCCCCGCCCTAGCCCCACCCCACTGCCCCCACCCTGCCCCACTGCCCCCACCCCAGCCCCGCCCAGCCCCGCCCTAGCCCCGCCCAGCCCCACTGCCCCACCCCCAGCCCCGCCCAGCCCCGCCCAGCCCCAGCCAGGCTCTGATGTAGGCACTTCACACTGAACCTGAACCTGAACCTTTCACTTCCTTAAATTTTAAAATCCTACTTTAGCTTTTCATTGAGACAGTCAGTGTAGGTAAAAAGAAATGTTAAGTTTGTATGTGCACTTCGGTAGTTCTGATTTCACTATGAAACCCAGCGACTCCGGGCTGTGTGGGAGGGAGGGAGGAGGAGGGGCCCCGCCCTGCGTCCCTGGCACATCTGGAAGGAAAGAGCTTTCCAGACTGTGGGTGGTGACAGGCTGCCTCGCCGCCGCCGGCCCTCAAGGCCGACCTGTCGCTGACTGGGCCCTCGCTGCTGTGCCCAGCCCGCCGTCCACCATCTGTCTCCAGCAATAAGGTGAGAGACAACCGAGCTGTGGGGCAGAAAGCAGACCCCAAGCCCTCTTCGCCCTGAAACGCGGGAAGCTCCGGGCCCCGCCGGCTCTGAGCAGCCCGGAGCCGCGGGGACGCGTACCTGGCTCTCTTGGAGCACGGCTGCACGCCGGTCCCTTCGCTCTGCTTCAGTTTGGGGGACGGCCTCACAGCCTGGAACGTGAACACCAATGACTGCCATCAGCCTCCCAAGCAACGCGGTGGCTCCCCAGGGACAAGCCGAATGGTGAAGCACCCGAGACAGAGCTGCGGCCTGTCAACCCTGCGACAGCCGGGAAGGCAGCGTGGCCACGGGCCGGAGGAACCAGGGGGCCGGGCAGCCCAGACCCTGCCGCCTCCTGTCACGTCTCGGAACCTCCCCACTTTGACTCCGAGCATTTCGCCTCGTCCTCCGACTTGGAACTTGGAAGACACACTCAATGCGATTACACCCTCTTCAAAAACAAGCCTCCATGAGCCCAGACCCAGAAATGTCACCCGAGGGTCCAGACGTTACAGGGCGATCAGCAGCCTCACCGACGGCACCGTGAGAGCCAGGGCCCGCAGAAGGGGAAGGGCTCCTGGACCCCGCACGGGGCCCCGAACCCTGCTCTCTGAACCCGGCTACCACGCGCCCCGTCCCCGTCTAGAATCCGCACCTTCTCCACAAAGACACTCCCTTTGCTTTGCTATTTGAAGTAACTGCCCCTCGAGCTCACTTCCCACCCGACACACCAGCCGCATCTCCTCAGCACCGCGCTGACCCGACCACGGCACACAGAGCGGGGAGACCCGGAACCTCCCGCCCTCCGATGCAGACTCGGGCTTCACCACCGACCTGCAGGTTCGACCCTCAACCCTACTTCCCCGAGTCAGTCGGGCTCAGAGCCCCTCACGGGCTCAAGGACAGAGGCCGGCGAGGGACCAGCAACGGAGACCGGCCTTCGAGGCGCTGAGCCTCTCATCCTGATGACACCATCTCAGGGCCGTCTCAGAACCGTCTCAGAACCGCAGCTTGGGGTCTGGGAGGGGAACTCTGGCGATCACGTCCCCAGCTTCATCGTAAAAGCCACCAGGACATTCCTTTAGCCCCATGGACCGGGGGAAGGGGTCTCCTTCCACTGCTGTGTCCCAGGGGGTCAGGGGACCCTGTCCCAGTGACTAGTTCAAGCAGAGGGGACCCATGTGGCCACGGCAGGAGGAAGCAGCCAGTGCCCACAGGCTCCCTGGTCGGATCAGGTCTGAGCACAGCGTGAGCAGCACCGGATCCCTGGCAGGAGCCCACCTGTCAGTGGGAGACCCAGCACCTCACCACCTGTGCAGCTGACAGGGACGCGGGGAAGCCAGACAGGACACGCGCATCCGTCATGGAGCACAGCGTCTGAGCACCTCCACCTTCAGTCACGCTTCTGCGAGAACAGCGAGAGCGGGCTGCCTCGGGGACAGGGAAAGGGACAGCCCGGGGGAGTCACCACAACGGCCACATGGGACAGTTCGTCAGGAAGCGTGACAACTGTCCTGCCCACCACACTTCCCAGCGGAGCCCAGACACCTGCACAGAAAGGGCTGCCCCGCGGAGAACGTGCCCTGGCCGGGGGGAGCCACAGCCTGTCCCCGACCGAGCGCCAGCCTGGTGCCCTCTGAGCCGTCAGGAGCCCAGGGCCAGGCACCACCGCAGCCACGCTAGGAGCCTGTCACGGTGACAGGCAGCGACCGCCCACCTGGTGCCGCCCCACGCACGGTGCCGACGTGACCTACCGTTAACAGCTCTGCCGACACTTTCACGGGGACCCTCCACGCGTCTAGAGAGAAGAAACACATTCTCTTTAGCAGACACGTCGTTTGCACAGAGAAGCCCGGGAAGGGCGCTTTGTGGGGCTGGAGCCAGGACAGCTGCGGGCTCAGCTGGCAGACAAGGGACTGTGGCCAAGTCACACTTTCCAGTCGGGGGGAGGGGCAGGCGTCCCTGGGACAGCGGGGCACTGTGCCCTCTGGGAACTGGTGTGGCCTGCAGCGGACCATGTGACGGGAGGTGGCTGACCCCGAGGCCCCAGCACGTGTCCCTGTGTAGTGCCACACTCAGATACGCAGGACGCACCACGGTCCTCAGAGCTGTCTCAGGAAGCAGACCGTGGCTGGACACGAATGTCCGTGGTCAAAGCCACTGAAATGAGCCTCACAGCAGTGTCCCAGAGCAGAGGGTGGAGGACCTCGGGGGAGCTCAGCCCGAGTGCCTGACACTGACTGCGGTGACCATGCGGCAGGCACAGGTGCCGGCCCGTCTCGGCACCGTCAGCCCAGGGAGAGCCCAGCAGGGGCGCAGGTGCCGGCCCGTCTCGGCACCGTCAGCCCAGGGAGAGCCCAGCAGACCCGGCTGGAACTGCACCGGAGGGAGAGAGGGCACGTTTTGGGCCTGCGGCATCGCAGGTCCGCTAACCACTGGACACGGCCTAACTGGGCTCCCGAGTGTCCTTCCGTCGCTAAGGAGCCCTGCTGAGCCCGGCCTCTGGGAGCGGGCGGGCGGGCGGCCCACAGAGGGCGTCTGGGACCCACTCACCCAGGAGGCCGAGCACGAGCTGTGGGGCGGGGGCGAAGGGGTCGGGCAGGTTGAAGGCCGTGTAGCGCGCGCACTGGACCTGCCGCAGCGCCTCGAAGTTCCCCAGCAGGATGTCCCCCAGCCACTGTGCATTCACGCAGGGGATCCTCCACTCTCTGGCCTTCTCGTACTTCAAACCAGTCGGCCTTTGTCGATGGAGAGAACACGTTTGTCACACGTTAGAGCGGGCTACTGGTCCAATTTACGAAAGCCGGTAAAAACACCGCGTCAGAGACCACGGGGACGCCCTGGCGGGCGGCGGGCAGCGGGCGCCCCTCCAAGGTCACGCTGGATCACGCCATCACCAACTCCGTCTCCTTATTCCCGTGACCAGCGCACGGAGCTCACATCTCACTAACTCATCAAACCTCCTCCTAGAGTTCTGTCCGCACAGGTCACCGTGAGCGAGGTCTCTGCCGTCCCGACTCCCGCCCGCTGCCCGGCCAGCTGCTGCGCGGGGCCCAGGAGGGAGGCGGCCGCGCCAGGCGCTTACTCTTTGCAGATGAGGACGGTGTTGCTGCGGCACAGGTAGCCCGTGTACTTGGCCCCGGCCAGGTAGGCCATGAGCTTCAGGTCATCTCTGTCCCCGTCCACGAACCCGGTCACAGAAATGATCTGGGGGGAAGCGGAGAAGGACAGTGCAGTTTAGTGCAGGACTCGTCCAGGTCTGCGCCATCTCACGTGGACACGCTGCGTCCACCTCCTGGGCGACGTGGGAGACGCCTGGGCGCACATGGGCCAGGCTCCCCTCCCTCTGCTGACCAGTCCTCAGATGATTCGGGCGGAGAACATTCAACCTCTAACAAAGTTCTGCCCGACAGAGAGCACCTCTGGGACACCACTCGGGTTACTTCAGAACGTAAACAGTGTCAGACTGAGGACCCAGGCAAACATCTACGGGCGGGACGCTGACGGGCCGGGCGAGCCCACAGCCCGGAGCCAGACGGTGGCCTTACATGCTGGGAGCAGGGCTTGCCTCCGGGTGGGAAGGCCACGGGGAAGTGCAGGGCCCGGTGCGGGGGCAGCAGCTTCTTCCTCTTGAGCACGGTGTTGAGCCAGTGCGCGGTGACGCAGCGCTTCCTCTCCCGGACGGCCTGCGACACGGAACAGGTCGTCAGCAGAGGGTCCCGGGCCCCAGATGGTAAGGCTGCCAGGCTACAGTCCCACGCGGGAACAAAACACTCCCGTGACATCTACCTCTGTTCACTACAGGAGCAAACGAGTCTACCACCACTCGGGACGTCACCCCACACGAGCGCCCGTGCGCTACGGCAGCGGACCCAGCACCGCCTGAGCACCACCTGCCGGGGGAGCCCAGCGACCGGCAAGCTCACCTCAGAGCTCATGAGGAATGGACCCTCAGGCTAAGCCCTCGCCACTGTGTCTGCCTCACGGGCCCAGACCCGGAAATGGCTCTCCCCTTAGAGGGTCTCCTGGAGGCCACGTGTCACCTACGCATGGACATGGGTCTGGCCACCAAGGACACCTTTCAGGAGGGGGCTCAAGAGGCGGCCCGGACACGGCCCCTGGGGAGCAGGATGTCCAGGGCCACACCCTGTACTCGCGGCGCCCAGAGCAGGGTGGGAGGTTCACCACGCTTCACACTCCCCCGAACCCTACCTCTCTCCGGGGCAAAGACGTAAGAGGCTGGTGCCCAGTCACCTGCCACCAAGGGCGATGAAATAATTTTTTTTTATCCTCACTCGAGGACATTTTTCCATTTTTTGTTCAGATAACGTGAGCGGGAGAGAGAGGAAGAGAGAGGAAGATCGACGTGAAAGGGCCACATCGAGTGGCTGCCACCCACGTGACCTACCAGGGCCGGGGACAAACTGCAACCGAGGTACATGCCCTTAGCGGGAACCGAACCCGGGTCTCTCTGGACCGCAGGCCGACGCTCTAACCACTGAGGCAAACCAGCCAGGGTGAAAACTGTTTGTTTTGTTTTTTATTCCCCACCTGAGGATATTTTTCTATTTATCATCAGATAGGGAGGGAGGGAGAGAGAAGCATCGATGTGATAGAGCCACACTGACTGGCTGCCTCTCGTACAACCCGACCAGGGCCAAGGACGAACTGCAACCGAGGTACGTGCCCTTGACTGGAATCGAACCCGGGACTCATTGGTCTGCAGGCCAACGCTCTCACTGCTGAGCCACGCCGGCCAGGGCGATGATAACTATTTTTAAAGGTAGACACGTCCTCCCGGACACGACGTCTCCACCCAGCCGCAGCCCCAGGACTCACCTGTGCAAACATCCCGCTGACCTGGCTCTCACAGAGCAGGTGCGTGCAGCGGCCGGAGAGCGCGGGGTCCACAGCGCCGCCGTGCGCCTGGATGATCTGCAGGAGGGCAGGGCACAGTCAGGGGCACAGGGCAGCACGGGCGCTGGGCTCTGAGGAGCCGCCCTGCGCCCCAGCGGTCTCCCCACCGTGCGCCTGGATGATCTGCAGGAGGGCAGGGCACAGTCAGCGGCACAGGGCAGCACGGGCGCTGGGCTGAGGAGCCGCCCTGCGCCCCAGCGGTCTCCCCACCGTGCGCCTGGATGATCTGCAGGAGACCAGGGCACAGTCAGGGGCACAGGGCAGCACGGGGCGCTGGGCTCTGAGGAGCCGCCCTGCGCCCCAGCGGTCTCCCCACCATGCGCCTGGATGATCTGCAGGAGACCAGGGCACAGTCAGAGGCACAGGGCAGCACGGGGCGCTGGGCTCTGAGGAGCCGCCCTGCGCCACAGCAGTCTCCCCACCATGCACCTGGATGATCTGCAGGAGACCAGGGCACAGTCAGGGGCACAGGGCAGCACGGGTGCTGGGCTCTGAGGAGCCGCCCTGCGCCCCAGCGGTCTCCCCACCGTGCGCCTGGATGATCTGCAGGAGAGCAGGGCACAGTCAGTGGCACAGGGCAGCACGGGGCGCTGGGCTCTGAGGAGCCGCCCTGCGCCACAGCGGTCTCCCCAGCGTACAGACAGGCGTCGACTGCTCACAGCGGGAAGAAGGTGGAAAGCCCATTACACAGGCTCCTCAGCCCGGCCCCACACATTCGGGCCAGCCGGCGGTGCGGGGGCCTCCTGCGGGGTCAGCGGCACCGACCCTGCCCCTGGGATGATGGCAACAGACTCAGCTTTCAGGGCGAGGGAGCCGCTCTGTGCCCTGGCTGCAGTGGGCACTGGGCACCCAGCCACGGGTTACGCATTACGGGCCTCGTTTCCCCTGAACCAACATCTACCTGCACAGAAGCAACTCACACGGTTCGGTGAGGTGCACGCGGAAAAGCTTGCCTCCCCCCAGCGGCCACGCACTGACCAAGAGCGGAGCGTCCCAGCCGTGCTGTGCTGCCCTCCAGGCGCCCACGACCTCTGCCCTGGGGCCACCTTCTTCCCCAACCTCACACAGCCGCCCAGCCCTGCTAACCCAGGGGCTCTGCTCCACCCTGGCCGCCCCGCTGCCTGCACACCTTCCCCTCTCGCCCCCAAAGGCTTCAGCAGATGTGACGTGACATGTTAAATGCATCCACACACTACAGAACCTGGACCGATGCCTGAGCCTGGACACCCCCCCATCCCAGGTGGCACCCTAGGGGCCAGCGCCGGGTTGCAGGCCGCAAGCATCACTCCTGCCCAGGCCCTGAGAGTCCACCTGGGACTCCCCCCCCCCCTTGTCCAGACCCCACTCCTGCCCAGGCCCTGAGAGTCCACCTGGGACTCCCCCCCCCCTTGTCCAGACCCCACTCCTGCCCAGGCCCTGAGAGTCCACCTGGGATTCCCCTCCCCTTGGTCCAGACCCCACTCCTGCCCAGGCCCTGAGAGTCCACCTGGGACTCCCCCCCCCCTTGTCCAGACCCCACTCCTGCCCAGGCCCTGAGAGTCCACCTGGGACTCCCCCACCTTGTCCAGGCCCCACTCCTGGCCCAGGTCCTGAGAGTCCACCTGGGACTCCCCCCCCCCCTTGTCCAGACCCCACTCCTGCCCAGGCCCTGAGAGTCCACCTGGAACTCCCTCCCCTTGTCCAGGCCCCACTCCTGCCCAGGCCCTGAGAGTCCACCTGGGACTCCCTCCCCTTGTCCAGGCCCCACTCCGGCCCAGGTCCTCAGAGCAGCTGTGCGAGGCACGCGATGGCCACGGAAGCAGAACACACCCCAACCCAGTGCCCTCTGCCTGCCGGATGCACTGCTGCTGGAGACCAGCCCTCAGCACCCTCAGGACTTCATCGCCTGTGCCCTGCAGCCGCTGCCCTGTGCTGCCCACGCCCTCCAGGTGTGTGCTGCTTCTACAGTGCCCAGACCTCACCGCTGAACGCTGGACCTCTCGGACTAACCTTTGCCCCTTAAAACTTCCGTGACAAGGCACGTGGACAAGTAGACACGACCTGGCCTTTGCCCCCACCCCAGGTCCTGAGCGCCCCCCCCAGCGTGCACTTTCCCACGGCACACAGCTGCCTGAGCGGCTCACCCTTGCAGACCGCACTCCGGAGCCCCCGGCGGGCATTCCTTTACCCACCCCTGCCACCCGCCGGGTAGTGTCCTCCTCGGGCCCTCCCGGGACGTGTATCCCCGGGCCCTGCCCCTGCCCGGACTCCGCGGGGTCTGACGTCACCCCTCCCGCTGTCCCAGAAACGTCTCCCTCAGCCTGACGCGTGCGTTGTCAGGAGGTGTCTGCTGTTGTCCCTTCAGGGGCCGCCATGCGAAAGGGTGAATGAGCTGCAGTCCACACCTGGGCTGGCAGACTGGGGCCCCTTCTCACCGCAGTCGGGGTTTCTAACACTCGCCTCTGCGGACGGGGAGATGGCCCTGCGCAGAGAAGGGGACGGTCTCTACCCCTGCTGCCGAGCGCTAACCTGAGTCCACAGCCCGCGCCGTGCACACGGAAACCGGCCCCGACGACAGAGCTGGAGGGAATCCTGGGAGGCCGGGGCCAGCGCGCCCCTCACAGCTCCGTGGACGGAAGCCGGCAGGCGCTCTGCCCAGGCCGGGGGGGCCCACGGAGGAAGTGCGCCCGGCACGGCACAGCGTCTGCGGGGCTCCCGGCACCTCACCCTTTTCCAGGTGGCCAGCAGCTGCTTGTCAGACATCTGCTCGGGGTAATCGGCGATGGCGAACACACAGCCCAGGAGGAAGCCTTCTTCGGGAACTAGAGGGAACGCACGAGAAGAGGACGGTGAAGCCGGGAGCACCGAAGCCCGAGGCCCATCTTGTGAGCTCAGTGTGGACCATGAGGCCGGTCACCGTGGCGGGAGGCGCCCACAGCAGTCTGGGCACAGGTGGGCCACCCCACAGATACACTAGCCTGCCGCCTGCATAAAATGACAGAGGAACCCGCGAAGTCAGCCCAGGCGCTGAAGGCTCGTGAGCCCGGGGTGGCCTGGCATTCCGTGGGCACCAATGTTCCCGCACACGTCCGCCGGCCCACACCCACCACCACAACTCTGCTCTGGCAGGTCCCCATGCTGCAGGAACCTTCTGGGGTGGCTCCTCACCCACGCTCAACGCTCTCGGAGCATCTAGCAAGTGCGAGCCGTGCAGGAGGAAGAGAGAGGAGCCCATTACTAACTCTCCACTGCGGGGTCGTGTCCGAAGAGCGGCTGGTGCGGCTGGTGCAGCTGGTGCTGCTGGTGCGGCTGGTGGGGCTGCGGGGGCTGCGGGGGCGGGGCCTGGGGCTGTGCCGCGTGCGTCTGCATCTGCTGCTGCTGCTGGTGCAGGCGCTGCAGCTGCTGGAGCTGTGCCAGCTGGTGCTGCAGGGGCTGGAGCTGCTGCGGGCGGTGCGGCTGCGGGAACGGGGGTGGCGGCACGGGCTGCGGCTGCGGGAACGGGGGTGGCGGCGGGCCCTGTGGCGGCGGCTGGAGCTGCATGATCTGCTGGGGTGGAAGGTGCAGCACGGGCGGCGGCTCCAGGGCCCCCTTCGCGGAGCTGAACAGCACGGCACCGGCGCTCGCGTGGGCCTGTGGGCCGTGGCCCACCTGCTGCTCCAGGTGCTTGGCAGGTGCAGCCAGGGACTGCAGGATCTGGGAAGCAGAGACGGGAGTCACCACCGCCCCTGGACGCTCCGGCATCGAGGGTGAGGACGGCTCTTGCACCGGTGACACGCAGCAGGCCCGTGGGAGCCTCAAGAACAACACTGCCGCCCTGGCCAGTGTGGCTCAGCGGTTAGAGCGTCAGCCTGCGGTCCGGAGAGACCCGGGTTCGGTTCCCGCTAAGGGCACGTACCTTGGTTGCAGTTTGTCCCCGGCCCTGGTTGGTCGTGCGGGTGGCAGCCACTCGATGTGTCCCTTCACGTCGATGTTTCTCTCTCTCTCCCCCTTCCTCTCTCTCCCTGCCACTCTATCTGTACAAAAAATGGAAAAGTATCCTCGGGTGAGGATAAAAAAAAAACAACACAACACTGCCTTGCTCTCGTCTCATTGAACCCCAACTTCAGTAGAGCCAGGGGCTGGTCCCGTCCCGCTGCCTGGAGCGAAAGCTGATCGAGCACATGAACGAAGCTACAGACAGGAGCCAACAGACCTCCGTGGAGGCCGTGCTCCGGCCGCACAGCCGGACGAGCAGCAGGGGCCACGCAGAGGTGCCCCTCTCCCCCTGGCCGGCCACCTGCCCAGTGCGGCAGGCCCGCCCGCCCCAGGCTTCCCGGAGTGACGCTCAGGCACCTGCAGCCACTCAGCCTCCCCCTCGCCTCCTCCCTACAGCTGCCGACAGAAAAACGGACCCCGTGAGAATCAACATGAAGACCTAGCCCGGGGCGAGCCTCCCCAGACCCAGCGCCCAGCAGAGCCCTGCTCTGGGCACAGCACCAAGGGACAGAACAGATGCCCTCGGCCTTCCTCCACCCGCCCGGGAGCCTGAGGCACGTGCTTCCGCCCAGAGGGAACCCGGCGGGCCGGCCATCCCTGGGGTTCACGCTGCCTCGCGATGACGGGCCGCTGAGGACTCGTGCACGCGGGGGTGGGGGGGGTGCACTGCGGGAGACCACCAGGCCCCATGGCGGGGCAGACAGGTGACTCTGCTATCCTCCCAGTGAATAAAACACGTCACAACGGGTTGTCCCAACTCAACTTCTCACGGTCAATGGGGACCAAGCAGTTCACTGAAACTCAGTCTATACAATGTAACCCTATAAAAAGAACACCTTTCTTTTTCTTTTTAAATTTTTTTCTTCATTGATTTTAGAGAGAGAAGAAGAGAGAGGGAGAGAGAGAGAGAAACATCGATGAGAGAGAACACCAATTGGCTGCCTCCTGTACGCCCCTCACTGGGGATCGGGCCCACAACCTGGGCATGTTCCCTGACCAGGAATTGAACCAGCGACCTCTTAGCGCAGGGTCAACGCTCAGCCACTGAGCCACACCTGCCAGGCACATACCAGTCTTTTAAATAAAACTCTAGAAGTTCAATTTCAACGCAAACCAGAGCTATACAGAAATGTTGAATATGGCCCTGGCTGGTTTGGCTCAAAAGTTAAGAGCGTTGGCCTGCGGACTGGAGAGTTGTGGGTTCGATTCCAGTCAAGGGCACGTACCTCAGTTGTGGTTCGGTCCCCGGCCCTGGCTGGGGTTGTGTGGGAGGCAACTAATCCACGTGTCTCTCTCACATCAATGTTTCTCTCTCTCTCTCTCTCTCTCTTCCCCCCTCCCTCCCTTCTACTCTATCTGAAACTAAATAAAAAAGTAGCCTCAGATGAGGATTTAAAAAATAAAAACAATTTTTAATTGAAAAAACATGTCGCACATGTCTTAACATGTGCCCTCCACTTGACTCCCCCACGCAGAGGCTCAGCCACAAGCGTGACAGCTCTGGGTTCAGTGATGACAGAACGGGTGTAAAACTGAGCCCAGATGCACCCGGAGGCGGGCCCCCGCCTGGAGATCTCACAGGTGAGGTGTCCCCTACGGAGATTCTGTCGGTGCTTCAGAGACCCTTGCTGCGCTCTAAGCGTGAACGACAGGTGACTCTCTCCTCTCCAGGCTTGGAGGTAGCCCCAGTGCCCAGCACAGAGGGGACGTGACCCTAGCACAGCCCAGGCCCCAGCAGCCGGAGCCGCTGCCAGGAAAAGGCACGCGGGGCGGTGGGGACACCTTCGTGTCTGCGGATGGGCCATGAGCACACCCCTGCCCAGTGCAGGCCGATCCCGGGAGGGAGCTGGTGGCTGCACAGCCTTTGGCGCCACTCAACTATTAATTTCGCCGTACATTCCCCCCGGAAGCGACAACCCGCGCTGGGGAGCTGATGGAGGGCGAGGGAATGAGCGCCAGCAGGCACAGTGGGGGGCCGGACCCGCGGCTGCCACCTGCCACGCCCCTGTACCCCAACTCCAGACCTAAGTGGACCCTCACAAACGAGCTCTCGTCAGGACAGCCGGGTGCCTGGAACCAGGGCTGGCGGGGTCGGCCCCGGGCATGGGGGCCACATGAGGGCCGAGGAGGTGGGGGCGAGAGCGGACCGCCGTTCAAGACAGGAGTCTGATTGGAACGCAGGCCCGCGGCGGGCGACCTTGAGACCACCACTGTCCACTCGGCCCCGACCCTCCGCCCCCCTCTGGAGACAAGTCAGTCCTGGGGAGTCGGGGAACGGGACTCTCGTGTGACGAGGCGGAGAGCGTCCCTCCGTCACAGCCGGGCTTCACGTGCGCTCTTGACACAGAAAGTTATGGTCTGCACCGCACGGCTGCTGACCAGCAACCCTTTCCATTCACACGGGGTTTCCATGACTAGCTGCCTCCCCGGCTCCCGACACACTTCCATGCCGAGTCGGTCTGGTATCTCCAACATGTCGGACTCTCCGCTGGGGCACATACCGCTCAGGGGAGAGCTTTTCACTGTGAAACTCCGTCTTCACATCCAGCAGCCAGATGTCCTATTGGTCTCACGCTGCTGAAAAGAGCTCAGGACACCTCTCTGCAACCGGCTCCATGCGTGAGCACCCCACCCGTCCCGAGCACAGTGCCTGGACGGGCCTTCCCATTTACGGGGGGCAGGCACCCAGGGGGACGAGTCCGTCCTCTGACATCAGCCTGCAAAGATGCGCCTGCCCCCGCTGTGGTCACTCACCATTTCAAAGGACATCACTTTACTACTACATCCAAAGAGCGAATTTAGGGAGCAAACCGAGATCCGCTCCATTTGAAAATAATGTTTCTGGCCCATCTGGTGGTGCTCAGAGTTTGAGAACCACGGGGGGATCTCACATCAGCACCGAGAACCACGGGGGGATCTCACACCAGCACCGAGAACCACGGGGGGGGGAATCTCACACCAGCACCGAGAACCACGGGGGGATCTCACAGCAGCACCGAGAACCACGGGGGGATCTCACACCAGCACCGAGAACCACGGGGAGATCTCACACCAGCACAGAGAACCACGGGGGGATCTCACACCAGCACCGAGAACCACGGGGGGATCTCACACCAGCACCGAGAACACGGGGGGGGGGGATCTCACACCAGCACTGACAACACGGGGGGGGATCTCACACCGCATGACAACACGGGGATTCACACCAGCACCGAGAACACGGGGGGATCTCACACCAGCACTGAGGACACGGGGGGGGGGATCTCACACCAGCACTGAGGACACGGGGGGGGGATCTCACACCAGCACTGAGAACCACGGGGGGATCTCACACCAGCACCGAGAACCACGGGGCGGGGGATCTCACACCAGCACCGAGAACCACGGGGCGGGGGATCTCACACCAGCACCGAGAACCACGGGGCGGGGGATCTCACACCAGCACCGAGAACCACCGGGGGGATCTCACACCAGCACCGAGAACCACAGGGCGGGGGATCTCACACCAGCACCGAGAACCACGGGGGGGGGGGGATCTCACACCAGCACCGAGAACCACAGGGCGGGGGATCTCACACCAGCACCGAGAACCACGGGGGGGGGGGCGGATCTCACACCAGCACCGAGAACCACGGGGCGGGGGCACACAAGGTCACTGGGACTGGCAGGGAGCCTCTCCAGCCCAGCCCACGTCCCGCCCCCACAGGACACATCACGCAGGTGGAGCCCCAGGCCCCTGCCCCAGGCTGCCCCTGGCCCTCTCTGCTCTCCGCTCTGACTTCCCCAGGGCCTCCGTCCTGCACAGGCATCCAGGCCCCAGCACTGGCCGGGTGCTCGTCCCCTGCACACGAGCACGGATGCCACCTGGACAACAAGCCCTGCTCCTCGTTCCCAGTCACCCTCCCGGGCTCGGGGCCAGCAGGCCACATGGAATAGAGGGATAGGCGGAGCAGGGGGCCACCCCGAAGGGGTATGCCTGCAGGCACCCGACCCCACACAGCACCATCGCCCCGTGCTCCTCCACAGGCCGTGGGCCCCTTCACGGTCTCACATGCTGGGCAAATAGCCCTAAACACACTTGGACCAAACTGAACATGCGGGCAGAGCAGGACCCGCCAGCACACCCCCGAGTCACAGGGGAGCACACCTGCCCCTCCTCCCCGCCGAGCCCTCCTGAGCAGCCCTGCTGTGGCCAGGGGCGGTGGCCATGGCGACAGGCCCGCTGGGCTCCAATCACGGTGGCAACACCACCCTCCAGAACCTCTGCATCAACTGCGCCAAACCCCTCCTCTCGTCCAGTCCCTGACGCCCCCCCTCGCCTGCCCCCTGGACCTGGCGCCCGCCCTCCCAGCACCTGAGAACACGCACGGTCAGTTCCCCAGGCCGACCCGCGGCAGGGGGAGGAACAGGACGCTTTTACGCGTGTCTAAGCGACAAAGACTGAACCCCACCACTGTTACCCCAACTGCGGTCCTGAGACTCCTAACAGGAAGTGTGTGCCAGGCGCCGACCCGAGTCCTCAGACTCCTCGGGAAATAGCACTCATGGCGTGGACCACGTGGTCCGCCCGCCCTCGCTCCCCCCTCACTCCCCCCTCACTCCCCTCGGCCCCCCTCGCTGCCCCCTCACTCCCCTCGGCCCCCCTCACTCCCCTCGGCCCTCGCTCCCCGCTCACTCCCCTCGGCTCCAGGCCCACTGACCCCTTACCACACAGTACATGCACGATCCTTCTCTTCACAGGGGCCAACCCTTTGCCTGGCACGCTCTCCCTGGGGCTTCCCCTGGCCTCCCTGCTGGTCAACCCTGACCTCCCCGCCCCCACGCCCACACCCATCAGAAGCCCTTCAGTTCAGAGCTGTTCTCGCCTCCCGAAGGAGAGGAGGAGCATGTCCTCCTCACCCACTGTCTGCCTCCAGTGTCCACAGGTGCCCACAGGCCCGACAGACCACCCAGCCCCTTTCTGTGCCGAAGGAACAGCCGTCAAGCGTCCAGGCCCACCGCAGGGACGAGCTCCGGTCGTGACACTGGGAACGCTGTCGCCCACCCACACGCAGTCCGCGTGAGCCGCAGGGGCCGCCGGCCAAGTCCGTTCCTGCCACCAACCTAACCTCACGCTAAGGAAGGGGCAGCCCGTCGCGGCGAGCAGCCACCACGGCCCCCAGCAGGCTGGGCCTTCCCCGGCACACGTGCCCTTCCGTGGAGACGCGTGTGCACACGGCTCACGCTCTCGCAGCGAGCACTGAGGGCACGGTCAGCGTCCTGAAGCAGAAACGATCGCGTCCACGGCATCGGGACAGACCCGGAGACCAGCTCCAAACTCCACTTGCCTCCTTTTTTTTTTATCCTCACCTGAGGACATTTTTCCATTTTTTGTTCAGATACAGTGGGAGGGAGAGACAGAGAGAGAGAGAGAGAGAGAGACATCGACGTGAAAGGGACACGAGTGGCTGCCACCCTCACAACCAACCAGGGCTGGGGACAAACTGCAACCGAGGTACGTGTCCTTAGCGGGAACCGAACCCGGGTCTCTCTGGACCGCAGGCCGACGCTCTAACCGCTGAGCCAAACCGGCCAGGGCCATGCTTGCGTCCTTGTTAAGGAGCTGGTGCGTGAGACAGACTGACCGACGGAGGACAGGCTGCGGGCTCCAGGGGGTGGGGCGGGGAACCAGGCAGCACACTGAGCAGACTGGTGGCTGCAGGGCTGGGGGGGAGCACAGCGTAGGAAACGCAGGTGGCGACACTGCAGGGACTCTGGAGCCAGGTGGGTGCTGGGAACACCGGGGGGCCCACTGTGCGCAGCACGTGACTGTCTGACCACTGTGCTGCACCCCAAAACAACACAAAGCACTGGAAGTCCGAGCACAGACGTAGGCGGCCACACCTGCGAGGACTCGCGCGTGCGGAGCCGGCTCACCTGCGGGACGCCCGCACTGCCGCCCAGGGCTCTCAGAGTCCGCACGCCGGGGCTCCAGGCGGCGAGCACGTCTGGCCTGTCGGAACTCGGGAGGGGTGGCCCCGCGGCCATCACGCCCCCGCGGCCGTCGGGAGGTAAGATGCCCCCGGGTACGGGCGGCACGTTGGCACACAGGTTGATCAGGCCGGGCTCCTTGCCGGTGGGCAGCCTGCGCTTTGCCGCCAGCTGGGGCACCTGGGCGGGCGTCCAGTTCAGGTTCCGCTCCTGCTTCTCCGGGGATGAGTCTGAGGAGTCGTCGAACATCAGCGCGCCCTGGGTTCTCTCGGTGTGAGGCTTGGGCGAGGACGGCTGGTCCCCGGGGGGGGACTCGTCCTGAGAGCTGGCAGGACTTGACTTGTCGTCCGAGCTGCCCTCATTGGGGGACTCGCGCTCCTCGTTCTCGCCCTCCTCCTCCTCCTCCTCTTCCTCCTCTTCCTCCTCGTAAACAATCAGGCGAGGGTGGTAGAGCGCTTCGTCCTTCTTGGTTTTCTCAGATACGCAATCCAGCACCCAGTCCGGGGTCACGATTTTGATGCTTGCTCTCCTCAGGGCACAGGCATACTTCTCCTAGGACAGAGCAGAGTGGGGACGTGTGGTCAGCGGGGTCCTGCAGCTCATGTCCAGCACCCGCCAAGGCCCTCGCCACAGAAGTGCTCACTCCCCTCTGCAGAGGACGTGCCCCAGTGCCCGTCACAGTGCCCCCCCAGCGCCCCCATCTCAGCTCAGTGACCCCCCAGCAACCCCATCCTAGTGGACCCCCAGTGTCCCCATTTCAGTGACCCCCCCAACGACCCCTTATCTGTGGCCACAGGACAGTCTTACACCTATGACAGTCATCTCACCCAAAGGTTTTGTATAAAACTAATTTTTTTTTTTTTTAATCCTCACCCGAGGACATTTTTCCATTTTTTGTTCAGGTAGAGTGGGAGGGAGAGAGAGGAACAGAGAGAGAGAGAAACATCGATGTGAAAGGGACACATCAAGTGGCTGCCACCCGCACAACCGACCAGGGCCGGGGACAAACTGCAACCGAGGTACGCGCCCTTAGCGGGAACCGAACCCGGGTCTCTCAGGACCGCAGGCAGACGCTCTAACCGCTGAACCAAACCGGCCAGGGCTAAAACTAATTTTTTAAAGGACGTTTTAGATACAAGAGTGTGGGGTTAGGGAGTTGGTAGATGGACAATTTGTAACCTTGTGATACACATTCTCGCAACCTGGCCAGCCGAGGATCAAAGTGTGTGTGTGGACAGACAGGTCTGACTGATAGGCAGGAAGATGGCCTTGCTTGCATTGAGTGCTTCTTTTGCATTCGAATAAAAAGGTTTGCAGAGGTGCCACCTCAAGGAAATAATTGACATCAATCCACTTATAACCTGGGGAAACCAATCTGCAAATAAATGGAACTGCGTCCAAAGATCTGAAGCATTTGCTCCCTTGCAAAGCTCCCACTCACTCCAAGCAGCGAGTGCTAGTTCACTGCTGCACTGGTCCCGGCAGGGGGAGAGCCGGCACAGGAGCAGAGACAGGGATCCTGCGCAACCTTCCAACACAAAGGCCGTGAACGCGTGCCGCCTGCCCTGGCTTCCGTGGCTCAAGGCGGGGACGCAGGCAGGGTGCCTGCAGGCAGCACGGCTCCTCGCTCTCCAGTGCTGACCGACCGCCTTCCCGAGGCACCAAGGACGCACAGCCTCTGTCCCACGAGACCACGAGCAGCAAGGGCGAGAGCAGATGGGGCCGGTGGGGGAAGGGACCAGGGCAGCCTCCTTGCAGGGCACGGACCGCGATCAGAGGGCAAGCACCAAGGCGTGAGCATGGGCGGGGTAGACATCTTACACAAGAGGGACGCGGCCAAGCGGCCTGTGAAAGCGGTCAGCTAACGAGCCATTTCACCCGCCTGCTTCCAAAGAGCTGGCCGAGCGCGATCCTCCAGCACACCAGCTGCAGGAGTGAGCTGGCCCACTCAAACCGTCAGTCAGTGCTGGTGCAAGCAGAGCCCACCACGGGACCACGGCCCTTCCCGGTGTCGGCAGCTGTCTGCTCGCAAAGTGTGGCTTACGAAGTCACAACCAAACTGCTGGCACCCAGCTCTGTCTGTGGCCAGGGAATGAGTGTGGCGAGAAGTGGCATTTTGGGGTGGCCCCACTCAGCCCCCAAGACTCTCGCAGGGACCCTCCGGCTCGCTGCGGGTGCTGCCGGCCACCTGCTCGCCTCCCGAGCCAGGCACTCAGACGAGCCCCACGCGCCCGCACGGAGCAGCTGGAGGGAAGGACTGGTGCGTGGAGAAGGGGACCCGTCCAAGACGCGTCAGCCATGACACCGCCCCTGCTCCTTGGTCAGGCTGCCGTGGGAGGGAAGGGCCGACCTCCACCGCAGAGCCTTCTGGAACATTCCTGCACCGGCTATTGGGCAGGGAGGGGGGGGCTGGGTAGATTCCCGGCGTCCTCACCAGGCTCTGACGTAGGAGGCCAGGCGGGGGACAGTCTGCAGGTCTACAAGTCCCAGGGGGAGGCCACCGCCACTGACCTGGGGACCCACCCGTGTCCGGGGATGACAACCAGATGTGTGGTCCCACACACTCCCGATCACAGGGAAGTCACTGGACACATTTATGGCCACACACGGGCGAGGCCTTTCTAAACAGAATGAGGGCCGAGCACAACCACTCCCACGGGGGAAGGGGGCGAGGGCCGAGCACGCCCACCCCCACGGGGGAAGGGGGCGAGGGCCGAGCACGCCCACCCCCACGGGGGAAGGGGGCGAGGGCCGAGCACGCCCACCCCCACGGGGGAAGGGGGCGAGGGCCGAGCACAGCCCACCCCATCGGGGGAAGGGGGCGGGGCCGAGCACACGCCACCCCACGGGGGAAGGGGGGCGAGTGCCGAGCACGCCCCAACGCCCCACTGGGGAAGGGGGCGAGGGCCGAGCACGCCCACCCCCACGGGGGACGGGGGCGAGGGCCGAGCACGCCCACCCCCACGGGGGAAGGGGGCGAGGGCCGAGCACGCCCACCCCCACGGGGGAAGGGGGCGAGGGCCGAGCACGCCCACCCCCACGGGGGAAGGGGGCGAGGGCCGAGCACGCCCACCCCCACGGGGGAAGGGGGCGAGGGCCGAGCACGCCCACCCCCACGGGGGAAAGGGGCGCGTCAGGTGAAGACCCCAGGCACTCAGAGCACTTCCCTCTTTTCTCCACAAGATGAACCCAAACTGTGTGTGCAGGGCCCACCCGGCTCCTGAGGGGACGGACAGTCACCCCCACCTCTGGGACAAGCTGGGACTGAAGGCAGACTGACCTCCAGCGGGAGCAGCTGGGGAAAGGCGTGTCCCGGCAGGCGCGGGGAGGGTGCAGGTGCTTACCCCCTTCGGCTCCGGGACGACCAGGTGCGTGCACTTCCGGTCGAGGCTCAGCTGGCAGGCCCCCCCGTAGAAGGTCAGCAGGGCCCACAGGGCGCTCCTGTCTTCCGGGGACACCTGACAAACAGAAACCAGGCTCGTCACACAGTCCGTCTGCGCTCGTCTGTCCATCCACGTGGGCATTAACATACACCCTGACACAAATCTGCTCATCCACGCTCCTCCCTGCCGAGTGGAATCGACAAGCTCGGGCGGGAACACACGCGCCTTCGCTGCTGCGCACAGGAGAGGAGCTCCCCCGTGCAGGGGGCTGCAGACAGCACGTCCTCTGCCCGGCCCGAGTAGGAGCGCTGTCCACACCCAGCGCGGAGGACGCCGCTCTGCGACAGACATGGGGGGAGCAGTGCTCGTTCCGTCCCCACCGGTGGCCTCAGGCACGTGGAACAGGGAGCCTGCGCCCCAGACGCCCGTGGTCACTGTGCCGGACTCACATGATGTAAACGGGGAAGTGAAAGGGGAGACGCACTGGTCTGCGAGCTCAGGGGGCGAGCACCTTTAACACAGACAGAAGAAGAAGGGCGCCCAGTGAGCTGCCCCCGCGGAGGAGCGGGCTGCGGGGGGGGGGGGGGGCGAGGGCTGCAGGCCTGGTGGCTGGTGCTGGGCTCACGGGGCAGCGTGAACAGCCAGGACTGTGCCTCCACCTGTCCCTCACCCTCGCCCACTGAGGGAAGCAGGGGTGTGACCCCACTTCACAGATATGGAGACGAAGACTTACGAACAACAATCGGAAAAGCTGGCTGTGAGCCCCCAGGACTCGGCCCAGGTCTTGGCCCGGACGACATCCCCACTGTCTGTGCTGCTTCCCTAAGGGCAGCTGCTACCAAAACAGCATCTAGTGAACAGAACCTCGCAGTCTAACACGCACATCTAAGAAAAATAAAGGTGCTAGTGGTAATTCTTTTTTTTTTAATCCTCACCCGTGAACATTTTTCCATTTTTTGTTCAGGTAGAGTAGGAAGGAGAGAGAGGAAGAGAGAGAGAAACATCGATGTGAAAGGGACACATCCAGTGGCTGCCACCCGCACGACCAACCAGGGCCGGGGACAAACTGCAACCGAGGTACATGCCCTTAGCGGGAACCGAACCCGGGTCTCTCTGGACCACAGGCCAATGCTCTAACCACTGAGCCAAACCAGCCAGGGTGCTTATGTTAATTCTAAAATATCACTGAAGCAAGTCAATTTTTTCTAGATAATTCATTATAAGTTAAGGATTATGATTAAGAATTCTGAACTGGCCCAGCCAGTGTGGCTCAGTGGTTGAGCGTCGACCCTGCACCAAGAGGTCGCCGGTTCGATTCCCGGTCAGGACACACGCCCAGGTTGTGGGTCCGATTCCCAGTGGGGGGCGTGCAGGAGGCGGCCAGTCGATGTTCTCTCTCATCGATGTTTCTATCTCTCTCCCCCTCTTCCTTCCTCTCTCTCTAAAATCAATAAAGAACAAAAAGAATTCTGAATTGTCTCAAGTTAATTTTTTTTTTTAAAGAATTGGTAAATAGCATGTCTTTTTCCTTCTGAGTGCCATTATCTGGCTTGCCCGAAATCTGCATTCTGCTCCCGCTGTCACCGCCTCACACAGCTCTAGATGCTGTTTCACTCGCCACCGCTCTGTGCACACTGACACGACTTTCGTAGCACAAACGCTCAACTTCATTATCTTACATCTGTTTAACTCAGGAAGTCACACCACGTTTCAGAAGATTGGATCAAAAGATTATGTTTGCTGGAGGTGTTCACGAGAACATGTACACCCCGCGGCCCCGTCAGAGACTCAGTCCCAGGACAGGACAGATGCTCCACTGAGTCAGTATATGATCTTGAGGCGAATGAAATCAGGAACATAACCCAGAGGTGCCCTTATCACAGACACCAGGCCACGTGGGTGAAGTCGTATTTCACCAAGCGCCGTGATTCTCACGCTAACCCTGCAGGGCCCGCCGCAGGGCCGGCTCGTGGGTCCCACCAGGGTGCCGAGACGCTGTGGGAAGGACATCAGACATCAGATGGGAGGGAGGGAGACCGGGGTCATCCCGTGGTCTCAGAAGCTGCCATGTTGGCTGGACAACTTCTCCTTCCACGACCGTGGGTCGTGGCCTCAGGCGGCCGTCCTGGCCCATTCAGTGAGTCTGTGTCGGCACAGTGTCACAAGGAGGGCCTTTCCACACCAAACTCGACGGCGTGACCTGTGCTGACGGGGTCACGGGGACGTCTCCACTTTCCTCTCATACTTCTCTGTATTCTCCAAGTTTTGTGACTGGGAAAAGCGCCTTTCTTTCCTTCTGAAGCAGTTTGCTAAGCTCAGCTCTACTGTCTCCTGGATGTCTCCTCAACGCCTAAGGCAGCGTCGGGGCGGGTGGCCCCCTCCGCAGCCGGCAGCCGGCCACTTCCAGACCGCGGTGCGCAGCCTGCTCCGGGAGGAGGGAGTCTTCTCCACGGCCTCCCCGTCCGTGACACCTTCGCCTTCTCAGCCCAGACCCTCAGCCTGCGCCCCAGCCCCGAGCCCACCAACAGCCCTGTGTCACTGTCCACCAGCCCGTCCTGGGCCACCTTGACCTGGGGCTGCTACTTCCCAGCAGTGAAGACAAAACTGCAAGTCTAACTTGGCTTTGGGTCGTAAAGACCCGATCAGCTTCCTCCAGGACCCATTCACTGCCTCTATCCTCCTGGGGCGCTAGCCCAGCTCTGGGGGGGGCAGCACGGCCCCGCCCTCCACACGGACCGCTGGCCGCCCCGCCCCCGTCTGCGCTCAGAGACCAGCTCCACTTGGACACCCAGCCAGGAGCGACCCAGCCAGGAGCGACCCCTGACCGGAGCCTGACCCAAACAGGAGCCACCTGACCCAGGATTCCCTGGGCAAGGCATCTCTGCAGGGAGGGTGCCACCCCTCCCCCGCCGCCCGCCAGCACTCTGTCAGAGGCCTGACCACCTGGCTCGGGTCCGAGCGCATCTTCGCTGGCCCCACAGGCAGACCCAAACCCAAACCTTCGTCTGGTCTCGAGACGGGGACTGCCCTTCCCGTGAGTGCCCACCCCACCTGCCAGTCAGCTCACAGCCCAGACCAGCGCCCCTCCAAGGTCACAGGGGTTTAACTCTCTTCTGCTCCTGTGGTTTCCAGATGCTCAGTGAACAGCTGTGACCCCGAACCACCAAGGAAACATCATGACGCAGCCCCCAGGCCCCTTCACCGGTGCACACTCCATCCCCGCCTCCCCCACACCCAGCCCTGTGGCCCCTGCTGTCGCCCCACCTGCTCCGCCTGGAACACCCTCTCCCTTCCCCATCTTCACTGGGGTTCTGCCCGTCCTTCCAGGCCCCTCAACCCGACACCCCCCACCAGGCGCCTCGCCCTGCAGCAGGCGCTGCGGACAGGACAGCGGGCTCTGACAGGCTGGACCCAGGAACCTGCCGCCACAAACAACTCGGCGGGAGCCCACGCCCTGGCCAGGGCGCACTGTGTCTGCGTGATGAGCTGGACCCAGAAACCTGCCGCCACAAACAACTCGGCAGGAACCCACGCCCTGGCTAGGGCACACTGTGTCTGCGTGACAAGTGACACAAACTCACCTTCCCTTAGACGGGCGCTTTGCCCAGCTAAGCCACAGGCCCTTCTCAAACTTACCTGAAGTTACTGTCAACTTGGAACATACGAAGAAATGTATGGAAGACAGTAACATTGACATGACCACAGAAACCACCACTAAAAGGCTTTATTTTAGCCAACGTTGAAGATCATCGTGTAAAGATAGATTTATAGCTCCAATGCGAGAAATACAAATACCAACAAAATTCCTTTTCTTACGAGAAAGCCAATTTTTCAAGGACCTCTATTAAACTGATGTAAAAAAAACAGAGATTTTATAATCTTTAAGAACTTCCAGAATTTACAGGAGACACAGACAAAAACCACAACCATAATTAAGCTTACTTAGTCCTTAATAAATAAGTAAACTTACATAAAGAAGCTCATTTATTGCTTAAATAAGATAGTTTGTACGAAGAGCTGTCTGGCCCATCACCTCACGATTTCAAACTAGATATTTCCTGGTTCCACAATCGTCTACTGAAAAGGCATTTCTTAAAAAGCAAGACTACAACCCAAACTCCCCATCTCGCCCGCCGCCCTGACCGCCGTTCCCAAGGCTCCCTCCGGGACGGGACTGGACTCAGAAACGCCGTCCTCGGGCACAGTAGAGACGGCGTGGGCTCCAGCACAAGGGCCGCTCGGAGTCACCGTCCAACAACTCACTTGAAGCAAATCCCGCTGTGTAATTTTTTTTAAAGTTTAAGTAACAGCAACTTGATTTTCTACAACCGTTTCTGCAGCTCGAGGGTGTTTTTAGTGGGGGGATGAGGCCAGAACACAGGAGAAAGCCCTAGTCCCTCCTTTCCCTCAGCGCCCAGACTCAGGGCCGACATCCGCCCCCTCTGGCAGGTCCGCTGGGTTTACCTGACAGGCTGCTGTGCGCCCCCATGTGGGGTCCTGCATCCTCTCCCACTCACAACACGTCTCATGTCTTTTTTGTTGTTTTTAATTCCCACCCAAGGACATTGTTCCATTGATTTTTTTTTTTTTAGATGGAGTAGAAGGGGAGGGGGAGAATCATCGATGTGAGACATTGATTGGCTGCCTCCCACACGACTCCGGGGCCAGGATCAAACCTGCTGCTCACGTACGCGCCCTTGACCCAGACCAAACCCGAGACCCTCTGTCCGCAGGCCGACGCTCCCCCGACCCCAGCGGCCAGGGCCACTGCCCAGCCCTGCGAACATCCCCAAGTCGGCTCCCTGGGACGCTGGGCGCTGTGCAGATGTGCAGCGCCACGCCTCAGCCCGTGTGCACCAACCCGTCCTGCTCCCACGTCCGGGTGACCCTCTGACCACCGGAGAGCTGCGGGGCAGTGAGCACTGGGAATGCTGACATGGCTGGGGAGGCCACACGGCCCCCAGCACGGATGCTGTCACCACTGTCACAGACCGGAAGGGCCACAAGCTACCACACCGCTACTGAAACGGTTGCCTCTGCCCTGGCTGGGGTGGCTCAGTGGGAGAGCGTCAGCCCTCAGACCGAAGAGTCGCAGGTTCGATCCCAGTCACGGGCACGGACCTCGGTTGCGGTTTGCCCCCGGCCCTGGTCGGGTCGTGCGTGGGGAGGCAGCCAGTCGATGTTTCTCTCTGTCCCTCCCACTATCTGAAAATAAATGTGAACATATCCTCAGGTGAGGGTTAAAAACCAAGGGATACCGGCCTCCGCCGCCGGAGCGCATGGGCCTGACTGCCCGCTCCCCCTGCTCCCCCAGTTCCCCCTCCTCAGGGCTGTGAACCCTCCGCCCCCGCCGCGGGCCTGCGTCTGCTCCCGGTCCCGACGAGCCTCCACTGAGAGTCCTCTCTCTCCGATGAACGCTCCGGGCCATCTTATAACCTCGTTTCCTTTCAAGTTGTAGAGCTTGGCAGTTGGTTAGATAGAAAGACCCTTCACCCAGGACAGCCGCGTGCCCACTGCCGTGCTGAGCAGTCCCGGGGGGCGCAGACACGGGCCCACGGGCCTGCCGCCGCTTACCTGAGACAGGCAGGCGGTGACTCCGAAGAAGGTCTGGCAGGACTCTGGAGAAAAGCCGTTCACTCTGGTGGACAGTTAAGGCTGCAAGGCCACGAGGTCAGCGCCACCTGGGTCTCACTCCCAGACCCCCAGGCACCAGAAGGGGCACCGGGCTGACCAGGTGCAGGGACAGGGAGAAGGCAGCAGCACAGGGCGAGCGGCAGGCTCTCTGAGGGCACCAATGCCAGGGGGCGTGGCACTCGCCAGCACCTGCCCGAGAGCCAGCACACACGCGCACACACACACGCACACGTACGCACACACACGCACACACACTCGTGCAACCCGCAGGCCCGAGCTCCGGGGTCAATGCCACCACGAACTGAACGTGGGCCACACCACCTGAGCTTCCGCTCTCTCTGCTAAAACTGGAGCCTGCAACCCTCTTCCCAAAGCTCTGCGGACCCTCACGCGAGCGTCTGTGAGCCACATGACACGTGGCTGTCCCCGAGCAGACACCGGGCTCGGTGCCGCAGCACAGCCCAGCCGAAGCTCGCTGCCTCTCTGGAGACTGGGGTGTCTGCACTGTCCCTCCGGAGAAAAGCAGACCAGCTGGCCAGGTGAGCTCAGCCGTCGGACTGGACACACGACTGCTCTTTGGAAGGCTCCCTCCCAGGCCCACCGAGAACCCGAGACCGTGCACTGACTGCAGGGCCCGCAGAGCCCAGCACCGTGCCTCCAGCCTTCCCCCCAAGCTCCTGCCGTAGCCCAGGGCCCTCGAAGCCGGGGGGCGTGTCTCAGGGGGTCTCAGTGTTCCCTCTCTGGTCCTTTAAGCGTCCCAGGTGGGCTAGTGAGGGCTCCAAGGTGGGCCTTCCGAAGGAGAGCCTGCAAGGGCGTCTGACTCACAGGACTGGCCTCTTCCCTGCGGAAGTGCCCACTCCGTCCTTCTCAGCTGTGTTCACAGGGAAAGCAAACTCCCCCCAAGCAGACCAGAACCCACTGCTTTAACTCTCACACTGTGAGTGAGAGATCAACGTCTGAGCTGGACCTGCTGAAGCTCTACACCGTCCGAGAACGGCTTACAGAGTCCCGCTCTGTCTGGGCCCACAAACACTTAGCGTGACGTGTGCCCTCTGTCGGCATCGACTCAGTGAGGAATCAACACGTCTGCAAGGATGGCCTGGCCCGGTGGCGGGACGGGGGCTGCAGGACATCACCTCCTTCCTGGGTCAAAGTGTCAGCATCCTAACTGACACGCCCAAGGCACCCTTCAAAGTGGGTTCCAAAGCCAGCCCCTGCTTGGAGGGGCTGGCCCCCAGAGGGAAGCCTGCCCTCCACGTGAGGCAGGAGCAGGGCCTGGGGCCTGGCAGCTGGCCCCGTGCGGGCGGACCTGCGTGCCGTCCCACTCGAGAAGGGCTGCAGGGCAGACCGAGGTCCTGTCCACCTCTGGGCAGGGCCCAGGCCCGGGCAGGCAGCCTACGTGCACTGACGAGCAAACCTCGCCCCAACACCCCCACAAAGAGTGGCGACGATGCTGTCGAGCCAACATGTTCTCGTCCTCGTCCCGTCTTCAAACAATCCACCATGTGGTTCACGGAGACTTAGAATTTTAAAACTATCCCGCCCCACTGGACACCTCAGAAACGACCCGTCTCAGACAGGAACGGTGAGGTCAGGAGAGCAGCGGCTGGGGTCAGGTAGCTCGTCCCAGCCGGGAGCTGCCTCCGCTCAGCCGCTTCCCTTCCCCGGGGTCAGGACAGAGGTCAGACAGCGGAACAGGGGCGCACAGCACAACTGTCCCACCAACCCCTGCCTCACCCGGTGATGATGGCTGCATCCTCCCCCTCCCCCGGCCCCCAGAAAGGATACGGCAGGAGCGCTCCGCACTGCACAGACAGGACCACCCAGGACGGCTGCGGAGAGAACGGGCTCAGTCAACGGCTGCTCCCAGCTCACTCAGGGTGGCGAAGCTCGGCCAGCGCCGCTGCAGTGCAGGCTCGGCGTGACCGCCACGAAGCGCCCGGTCCCCGCACCGGGCGTCCAGGCGCAGGGGCCTCGGGTCAAAGGTTCGATGTCCACGTCCCAGGAGAAAAGCCCACAATCATGACTAAAAACTTAATTCCAGGTTTACTCATATATCACCGCTTAAGCTACTAGGCGCCCTGGAGACTGTCCCCGGACTGAGGCCACCCTGTGCTCACGCAGGGGCCAGGATGAAGCAGACATGGAGAACCAGGGAACCCCAAGAATCGGGAGCTACTTCGCCCGAAGGCGAATGCTAATAAACACAGCAAACCATGAAAACATGATTTGAAAGTTCTAGTGCCTAGCCGGCCGCTGTGGCTCAGGGGCTGAGCGTTGACCCAGCACCAGGAGGTCGCTGGTTCAGTTCCCGGTCGGGGCACATGGCCAGGTTGTGGGCCCGATCCCCAGTGGGGGGCGTGCAGGAGGCAGCCAGTCAATGTTCTCTCTCATCGATGTTTCTCTCTCTCTCCCTCTCCCTTCCCCTTTCTCTAAAATCAATAAAAAAAAATAACATTTTTAATTAAAAACAACGGAAGTGCTAGTGCCTAGAGCAGCGTGTTTGAATGAACGCCCGTCCGGTCCCAGTCCTGAGACGGGCACCGCCCCAGGCGGAAGGCCGCCTGCTCTAAGCTCACGTGTCAGACGCAACGCTGAGGTCAAGGCCAGGGGTGCGGCTCAGGTGAGCAGCCCTCGCCCCTCAGCTGAGCGCACCCCGTGCGGGGCCTGCTGGGTCCCCTCCCTGCATGAGGACGCCAGGCAGCTGGGAAACCCTCCCCCTGCAGCACGGCCGTCCTCGCCACCCGGGTGCTGCCGTCAGCGAGCAGGGGCTGGGGTCCCAGGCTGATGGGACACTGCACGCTGGGGCGTTCCACAGCCCTACAGCCGGGGGCGGGGGACAGAGTGGCTGCAGGGCCCAGGGGTGGGGACCGCAGGCTGGGCACTGGGTCTCCGTACACGGCCTTGTCTCACGCTTGAGTCTTCCGGAAACACAGCTTGTACATGGAACGCAGTCACAGGGCCGGGAGGCGCCAGCTGAGGGTCCTCCGGCCCTGGTGTCGCTGTGCCAAGTACTTCGTGCTGAAGGACACGCTCATCACTCACTTTCCTCTTTTCTCCTTCACCTTCCAGTCTGGGCGATTCAGACACAGGCGCGAACACGCACGTACGCGTGACATACGTGACAGATCAGGGGACGTTACCACATACAAACTTCATTTCAGGGGCATCACGAAGTATCTGCTACCGACCTTCACCACAGGTAAGTCAAAGACTTCCCGAGCCTCCCCGACCTCGGGGTTGTCCCCGTCTTCCGAGATGATGTGCGAGGCCAGCGCGTTGTAGGACACCTCCTTGGCCTTGCCGGCCTTGAGCAGCTGGATCACCTTGGAGAAACGACACACAGAAGTGGGAAAGACGGCACGTCACGCTGCTCACACAGGTCGCTGTGCTCCGCACACGCCTCCTGCCGAGTCACAGCGGAACATTCGGACAACGTGAAGTAGTGACTCAGGCCGCGGACCCAGCGAGCGGGAGGGAGGCCACGTGAGCCAGGGGCAGGACGGGGTCTCTGCACTGGGCACGGGACCCACCGCCTGCACGCAGCCCCGCGTGCTCACACCAGCTCCGGCCTGGCGCGGTGTTCGCTGCCAGGGGGAAGCGCTCCGGAAGGGAGGCCACAGGAACTGGACACTGGTTTGTCAACTGGCCAGTGCTAAAACTGGTTCCATGACTGTCCTTTTGATGCTGGTCCAAGAACCTGTTGACGACGCTGAGGACTGACTAGACATGAGTGGAATCCATGTGAATTTAAAGAAATCGGCAAGGCCAAAAGGTACACCCCACCCTGGGGAGAGCCGCGTTCACACCGCACCGCGCATGCTCCTTGCGTGCTACGCAGCTTTACTCTAACACAGAAGGCGCTGTCTCTGGGAAGGCAGGAGGGGTTTAAGCAGGTAAGCGCATGAGCAGGTGTTCCCGGGATGACTGTCACCGCCACTCTCCGTGACCAGGTGAAGAGGCAGGGCCACGACCTCCAGGATGGCACCAGGGGCGGGAGGCGCAGGAGAGAGCGGAGTGCTGGGAGCCCAGGGCCATCCAGGGGCCAGCGCACGAGGCCGGGGCAGGACGAGAAGGAAGTCTGCTGAGGCCCCGCTTCGGGTGTCTGTGCGAGAGCTGCAAACACCAGTGCTGTCTAGGAAGACTGGTCCCACCTGCTGGGTTCTCGGCAGGTTAGACAGGTGGCAGCCAGACCTCCCAGAGGGCAGGGATCTGCAGCAGAGCCCTCGGACCCGGACCCGATGGAGGCCACCCATGAGGGGTCCAGTGCCCACACCGCTGAGTTCACGCACGCGTGTGGCAAACTCTTCAGGACACGTCACCGGAGGTCAATAGAACCGGCAGAGATGCCGATGCGCGTCTTAACAAATGAACACACCATGGATACGAGCCACAGACCCGTGCACGGTCTCCCCCTGACCTCCAAGCATCTTTAACTTCAACACACTCAACCTGTCTCCTATCTACCCTCCAGTCTGTTCCGGATCCTACCGCCTTCGCTATGAGTCTGGAGACTCCGTCCTCTCCCCACGCCTACGAAGCACCAAGCCGCCTGTGTCGTGTACACGCACAGGCTGCACACACAGATCCACGCCTGGCCCTTCTGCGCTCCCTTTCAATGCCCACGTCCTGAAACAACAGGCAGCCCTTCTGCCTTCACATCCTCACTTCTACGCGCCCTCCCGGCCTCTCCGACAGCTTCACGTTGGTACTTACAGGGCTTCCGTGGACCATGAGGACGCCCAGAGCGCTCGCCTGTCCAGTCTCCACACCGCCCAGCTCAGCCTCAGGCGAACCTCAGCTCACCCTGCTCCACAGACACCGTCATCTGACGTCTCCCACACACACGGACTCAGCGTGCACCCTCTTCCCACTCCTGCTTATTGCAGGACCCACCAGAAACGACACCTGCTCTGAAACAGTTCAGTGGTGCCTTCCCTCAGGCACCCAGCACCCAGGGTGGCACCTAGGGTAGCGCCCTCGGGTGTGTGGTCTGCTCCGCCCACCGCCTCCTGAGATCCATCTCTCCTGCGCCTGGACCCCTGTGACTGCCGGGCACTGGAAGCCCAGCACGTCAACTTTCTGAGTCAGACTTACAGGAGCCAGAGAATCGGACGTTCTGGCTCTGAACGTTTTAGAAAATGAACTGTTGCAAATCCAGGAGGTTTTGCGAAGGACGTTTTTAAGCCCTTAGATCTGATTTACAGTCGGGGAAATAGGGTTTGACATCAGCTGGTTCCAGTTTTAAATAGTCATGGGTTCCCGTCCCTTGTAAGTGCCCAGTCCCAAATGAGATGGGGGGAGGCTGGAGAGACAGAAAGGGGACTTGTCCGCACCGAGAAAGGCTCACCTTCTCTCCCGGTGGGTTCCGAAGCTGTGGATGTTCAAAGCTAAGGGTACAGCAGAAGGTTCACCTGGGGGTCACCCAGGCCAGTCCAGTTACTAGGACACCAAGCACAGCCCCTAGACCGCTTGCTTCTGGGCTAGCATTCCTTCCCCCCCCACCACGTGCCTCTGCTGAACCCCCTTTGCTGAGCCCCTGTCCACTCTCCACAGGCTCCTCTCGCCCTTCCTCCAGGCTGAGCCCTCACTGGGGAGGAGCCGCCCAGGCCGCAACACTGCAGAGATAAGAGGGGGAGTATCGCACCACTGACCCGAAGAGGCTGTTCCACGAGGATTCACTCCCACGCGGAGGAAGACTGCGGCCTTGTGAGCCGGCGCCTTCCTAAGACAGCGCTCGGGCAAGGCCACCCTAACTTTCTGCAAAAGTTGAAAGGCTGAGTGCGACAGGGCCACCGGGTACTCTCCGCCTCGCCTGCCTGATTCGCCAGGAAAACCAAGGGGTTCGAGTTCACTGGCGGGGAGCGGAGCGCTCCTGCGGCGCACGCAGGCGGGGGGCGGAGGCTGACAGCGCCGGGCGAGCGGACCCCGCCGCTGCGCGAGCCCAGGCCCCGCGGCCAACCGGCAGCGCGGGGGTGCGGGCCGGTACCAGTGCCGCCGCCGAAAGGCGCGCGAGGTGCGGCTGCAGACGAGGCCGCGGCGCCGGGCCCGGCCCTGCGACAGGGGAGGACGGGCCGAGCGGGGACTCGCGGGGCACCGACGGGGACTCCGGTGCTGGCCTCCACCCACGTGCTCTCCCCTCCTCCCGGGTCTGGGCACAGCCCAGGGTCCCAAACACCCCCCAGGTCCCCTCCCTGGGTCCTGTAGAGGCCCCCAAGTCACTTCTCGAGGGTCCCGCAAATGGCCTCCCAGGTGTCCTCCCTGGGTCCCGTAGACCCCCCCAAGTCACTTCTCGAGGGTCCCAAAATCCCCCCCGAGGGACCCGCAAATATCCTCCCAGGTCTCCTCCCTGGGTCCCGTAGACCCCCCAAGTCACTTCTCGAGGGTCCCAAACACCACCCCCGAGAGTCCCGCAAGTGTCCTCCCAGTCCCCTCCTGGGTCCCGCAGAGCCCCCTAGGTCCCCTCCTGAGAGTCCTAAAGACCCCTCCCCGGGTCCCAGAGGCGCCCCCCAGGGGCCCTCCCCGGGTCCCGAACGCGCCCCCAGGTGCCCGCCCTCCCGGGCTCCCGCAGACCCCCAGGTGCCCGCCGTCCCCGGCGCCCGCCCCGGGCCTGCTCGGCGCCAGGCGGCCCAGCAGCCAGGCCAGCGGGCACCGGGCGGCGGGGCCCGACGCTCTGCGCCCGAGCGCGCGCGCGAGCGGGCGCGGGGCCGGGCTGGGGACGCGGCGGCGGGGGCGGCGCGGTACCTGCGGGTCGATGTCGCCCACCGCGTAGTACTTGACCTCCCTGAACATGTCCTCGGGAACTTGGGGCGCCTGGTCCGCCATGGTCGCGGCGGCCGGAAGGCTCCGCGGCGGCTCCCGCCCCGGCCCGCGGGGCCAAGTCCCCTCCGGCGCGGCCCCCGCCCGGTGCAGCAAGTCGGACCCGCGCCCCCGCCCTCCGCGCCCCCGCCCTCCGCGCCCCCGCCCGCGCCGAGCGGCCCAAACGCGGGAGCCGCGCGCGCCCTGCGGGACGCACCATCCGCGGGCCGCCGGGGGGGTGCGCCGAGGGCCGGGCGGCCCCCCGCCCCCGCCCAGCGCCTCTGCTGCGACCCGCGCACCCGGGGACAGGGCCTCCTCCCGGGCCGCTCCAGGGGCAGGGGCCTCCGTGGCCACCGCTTCCTCAGGAGCCGGCCGAGGGCACGCGGGGAAACGCGCGCCCCTCACGTGCGGCCGCAGTGGGCCGGTCCGGGAACCTGGGACCGCGAGGCCCCTCCCGTCAGCACGCGCGGCCGCCGGGCGGCGCATGCGCGCGGCGTGGGGGCGGGGCGCCGGGAGGGCGGCGGCGGCGGCGGCGGCGGCGCTGTTCGGGTTTCGGACCCGGGTCTCGAGCTCCGAGGAGCGGAGCGTCGCCGCTGCTGCCCGACCGGCCCGAGGTAACGCCTCACCCCTGCGGCGGAGGAAGGCCGGGTCCCGGCGGAGAGCGGGCGCCAGTCGGGGTCCGAGCGCCACGGGCCGGCCGAGGTGCTTCGGGGCCCGGCGCGGCCGGTGGGCGTCATCCCGAACCCCACTCCTGCCGGGACCTGCGCGGTGGGCGGCAGCCCGGCTCATCTCCCCGCAGAGCTTCAGACGACATGGCAGTGACACGTTCCCGCCTGATGTCACCCCGCCCTGACGTCACTCCTCCAACGTCACACCTCCTGCCAGGTGGGGATGTATTCCATTTCTGGCCGCCCCTCACCCTGTACGCGCGTGTGACGTGCGTTCTCCCTGGCGCCCTCCCGGCTGCACCGCTGTGACGTTGCTGTGACGTTTCTCTGACGTCATGCGGCCCGCACGGCGGTTTTCATGGTCTCACTCTGACGTCATCTTCCTCGCAGGGCGATGGCGTGATCCCGCTCTGACGTCATCCCGTGCGCTGGAGGAGGCGTAGACAGCCCTGCACGCAGCCCGTGGGCCCTGGTGCGCGCTGCCCGCGCCTGGAGCCCAAGCCCAAGGAGGGCAGTGGGGGTGCGGGCCGCCCCCCAGCAAGTCCGAGCCGCCCCCTGGGATCCTGCGGACCACTTTCTGGTCCCAGGTGTCCTAAGGCTCGACCTACTGTTGCTGCCGCCTGCTAAGCAGAAAGCCGTTTTTAAGTCACTTTAAAATACCTTGCAAGACAATTACTGTGACATCCTCAGGTGCCATGAAGGCGTGATCGATTTTAGTCTGTGCCCACAGGGAAGTTCCGGAAGCGAAAGCTCACACGTCCTTTCTGGACCCGCACTGGCTCATCAACCAGGTGAACACGGTTTGGGTCGCCTTTCCTGTTGTACCTGTGTAAGGAGTGATGTTTCTATGGGCAGAAAGAGAACATCCAGGGAGCCCTTTCATTACACCTGCGTTCTATCGTTCTAATTGTTTCTATGTTTTGTGTTCTTCATTTTTCTTCTTTTGAACAGGGTGAAATAGCCTTATTCGAAAACGAACGAATTTCTTTTACAGATAATAAAAATATTGAATGATTGCCTAAGGAAGAATGGACCGCCCCTTCCTTTAAATACGCAAGAATATATTTGGTATTGACCATTATGACATTTCACATTCACTGTTAAGAAAATGACATTGTAGCCCAGCCAGTGTGGCTCAGGGGTTGAGCATGTCCTGTGCACCAAGAGGTCAGAGGTCACCAGTTTGATCCCAGTCAGGGCACATTCCTGGGTAGTGGGCTTAATCCCCAGTGAGGGGCATGCAGGAGGCAGCCAATCAATGTTTCTCTCTCTCCCTTCCTCTCTAGAATCCAATAAAAATATGTTTTTATTAAAAAAAAAAAACGGAAATGATAGTGTAATAAGTTCTATTTTTTTTAAATATGTTTTTATTGATTCTTTTTAGAGAGAAGAAAAAGAAAGCATCCCTGAGAGAGATCCATGGGCTCCTTCCTGCATGCCTCCTGCTGGGGACGGAGTCTGCAACCAGAGCATGTGCCCTGACCATGAACCTACCAGTGTATGGGATAGCACCCAACTAACTGAGCCACACTGGCCAGAGCAACTTAGTTCTAAATACAGAACAGAAAGTAGGCTCTTTGGTTGACCTGCGTGAGAACACTTGTTTAGCTCTTCTCTTCCTTGGTTAAACATGAACTAAGTATGTAAGTTATATTAAAAGACTTATCAAAACCTACCTCCAGGGGTATTTTATTTTGTAGGTTAAAAAAGAACTCATAACTTTCAGCAGGACAGGTTCACCCTGCTGTGAGTGCTGATAACTCAGGCAGACTCTGGGACTAGGAGATCTGCTATCCAAAATCTCATCCCCTTGTCAGAAAGTGTGACGCACCCACGAACTGGGTACGGTTAGTATGGAGCATGGAGGGCCTCCCTGCTTCAGCATTAGGAAGGCCCGGGGGCAGACTCACACCAGGAAAACACTCCGTAGAGTGTATCAGACACAGCAACTTTGCCAGTGATGAGAAATAAGCATCTTTAGGTGAAACCGAATTTCATGTGCAGAATGGGTGTTCTGAGGAAGTCCGCAAAACCTGCATCATGAAGAATTAATGACCGGAAGACTTAAAGATGGTAGTTCAGTTCTTAAAAATCAGCGCCAGCCCTGGCTGGTTCGGCTTAGCAGTTAGAGCGCTGGCCCGTGGACGGAAGAGTTGTGGGCTTGATTCCCGGTCTAGGGCACGTACCTGGGTTGCAGGTTCAATCCCTAGCCCTGTCCAGGGTCATGAGGGAGGCAACCAATCAATGTGTCTCACATCGACGTTTCTTTCCCTCCCTCCCACTCTATCTAAAAATCAATGAAAAAATATTCTCAGGTGAGAATTAACAAAAACAAACCAACAACAACAAAAAATCAGCACCAAAACTCAAAAAAAGTGATGGTCTGTAAACTCTCCATTCACAAAGTTACAGGAAAAAAGACCATATTGAGACTGCTGTGTGTTATTAATGAATAAGCAGGGTTTTGTTTTTTTTTATCCTCACCCTAGGACATTTTTCCATTTTTTGTTCAGACAGAGTGGGAGGAAGAGAGAGAGAAACATCGACATGAAAGGGACACATCGAGTGGCTGCCACCAGCATGACCAACCAGGGCTGGGGACAAACTGCAACCAAGGTACGCGCCCTTAGCGGGAACCGAACCCGGGTCTCTCCGGACCACAGGCCGATGCTCTAACCACTGAGCCAAACCAGCCAGGGCAGCAGGTATTTCTTATAAGTGACTTTTGTGGTACTGAGAAGACCCATATTAGGGTGATAATAGTATCAGTTCATTAAAAAGAAGCTTTGCATTCTCTGACTTTGATGCAGACACACCCAAATGTAACACTAAGCATGAACACTTACACTTCTTCCAACTAAGTTCAAAGTAGGATCATTTTGTTGCTAATCAACCTTCAGAGGATAAACAGCCTGTTTAAGCTAATTTGATAAATAGAGTAATACTCTTTTTTTTTCCATGCAAAATTAGATACTCCAAGGCTAGAGGGGGGAACGTGTGAAATTTAAAAAGGCAAAAGTAGAACTTGGGGTTATTTAACCTAAACTGTACCACCTGTTGAGAATCTGAGGCAGTTATTAGGTATTTCCAAATGGCTTTTTTAGAAAACACCCCGGTATTGTGTACAACAATCTCAGTGTTGTTCCCACGTGTTCTGTTCTGGTCAGCTGGTCACACACCCCTGGAGATTAGACATTCTCTGCTTGGGAAACCTTTAGTTTGAGTTTACAGGCTACAGCCTTTAACCTTTTCACGCAAGGAAAGAATACTTATGTTAGAGGCATAAACAGGCCCAGGTTTTATCACAGGAGAAGCTGGAAACTTCGAGGGTGTTGTTCATGGGAAACACGCAGCCACCACCCACAGGGTACAGATGCCGCCAGCAGTTATCTGGCTCTTCAGTGCAGAAAAACAGAAACAGGCCAAAACAGTGAAGTACCCCAGTTCTGTCCCCAGAAACAACACAATTGAAATCCTTCCAATATTGATATATTTTTCCTTAAAAAAGAGGTTACACCACACATACTTCTGTTGCTTTAAAAACAAAAACAAAAAACAAGAATGTCCTTCCTACCCGGCTGCTGTGCCTCACTTGGTTGAGTGTCCTCCTCCCAGGCACCAAGAGGTCACGGGTTCCATTCTGGTCAGGGCACATGCCCAGGCTGCGGGCTCGATCTCCAGTAGGGGGCGTGCAGGAGGCAGCCAGTCAGTGTTTCTCATGGCTGTTTCTCTCCCTCTTCCTCTCTCTAAAAACAAATTAATCACAAAACCAAACCAAACCCAAGAAGGTCCTTCCGTGTCGGTGAATAATAGATTTGCATCATTTAATGGAGACAGAAGGCTCCGTTTTTCATGAGCCTTAATTTAATGCAGTCTGTTGTTACACTTTGTTTCCAAGTGCAGTGCAGCAATGAGCCGTCCTCTGAAGGCAAGCATACTGTGAAATGTATCACACGGGTCCCTGCTGCAAGGTGCGCTGTCCCATGCCTCCCCTCCCCCCTGGGCACAGGCCCAGCACACAGCTGAGAAGGCTTACGTCAGCGGTTCTCAACCACCGGCAGTTTTGCCCCCAGGGGTGACTTGGCAATATCTCGGGACACTTGGTTGTCATAACTAGAGGGGAGAGGGTACTACTGGCATCTGGTGGTCGAGGCCAGGAGGCTGCCGAAGCTATGATGCACAGGACAGCCCCCACAACAGAGGCACCCCGTGCAAAATGTCACCGAGACTGCTCTGGAGAAACCTGGCTTAGGATGCTGTTGGAGCCAACTACACATTTCATTGGACTGAAACACAGTTTCTCGCTCAACTTGGTGGCCGCTCAGCTTCCCTCCCAAGAGGCACTCGGGGCTCCTGTGGGAGAGCTGTTGGCTTCCAGCCGAGGGACGGGAGAGAGCAGGTGGACGTTCCATTCCGGAGGCCCCAGCCCCGACTAGAAGGAACAGCATACACCCCGGTCCAGCCACTTCCCTTGGCCAGAACCTGGTCTCCTGGGGCCGACCTAAACCGCAAGGGAGGCTGGGAAATGTAGTCTTCCTATGTGTCCAGAAAAGGCATATGGGATGGAGGGCTTCTCGGTAATTTCTGCTATTTTTTAGTTTAGTTTCGTTTTTTTTTTAATCTACAAATTAAGATTAGAGAATGCAATAGAACATACGACAAAAAATTCTTAAAGATTATTTCAAAAACCATGTTTGCACATAGCTGCTGCCCAGAAATTGTTGGGTTTGGGGTGCTTGGCTTTCCATGGAAAGGACTAATAGTGTTCTTCATGCAGAGCAATCAGATACCTAGCGTAGGCCTGCCACGGCCGTGCTGGGCACCTTCCGTCAGTCTCTCCGTCCGTCCGTCCCTCCACGGTCCAGCTTCACCTGTTCTCAGGCCCAGCCACTGGCTTATGTAAACAGCCTGGATGATAAACACAGACTCCCCTGGACTCTGGCTTCCAGGTGAAGTTAGGGGGTAGGGAACCCAGCAGAGTGAGAGGGGAGGGGAGAGCGGGCGAGGGGCTTATCTCCCCGGTTCCCGTCAGGTTGCCTTGGACGGGTGAAGTCCCCGGTTCTGAGAAGTTCTGTCTCCCCTTCCTCTCCGCCCTGAGACCCAGGTTCACACCTTCCCACGCGCCCCGTCCAAACCTTTGTCGGTCACCCTCCTCCCTCAGCTTTCCCAAGTGGCCCTAACCTGAGTGTGCTGCCCCAGCCGTGACCCTAACCCGTCTAATGGACACGGAACCCCACAGGGACATGGAGAGTGTTTCCCCTCGAACAAGACATGCTTGCCCCCGAAAAACTAGCCCATGCGTGGTCTGCAAGCCTACACCTGGGGGAATGAGTCCTAAACGCAGCAGAGATTTAGAGAAGAGCCCCCCCCCCCCCGTGTGTCCCAACGCGAACATCCGGGCGTCCCAGGAGCACGGTTCGGATTTGAGGTACAGGATAATTCCGTAGCTGTGGTAATTGGGGTAGACTGCTTAGCTGATCCCAGAGGCTGGCCCCAGGGCAGCCTTTGTGGCCTTTGAAGTGGTAAAAATAAAATCAGCATCGAGTGGTACCAATCACTGGGTGTCCAGCACCCGGCAGCATTCACACACCAAGGACCCGGAGCACGTCTGCGTAGAGAGTCGAGCATTCAAATGTGGGGGTGACATGGCGCCGCCGCGGGCACTGCTCACTGTGTGCCACCGTGATCAGACTGGCCACCCTTACCCTCTGTCCCTGTCCACCTGCGCCAGGTACAGGATGTACCTCCAGGGGCACGAGCCCCGAGATTCAGGAGGCCCCTGCACACGGGCTGCCCACCTGCGCGGAGGTGCGATCAGGCGTCTGTCTATCAGAGATCTCTTCAGCAGAACGATTTCCGGTGCTGGGTTTGGGGAGTCCACGCTGGCCCACCTCTGAGCGAACACAGAGGGCCCAGCCATGGTGCGCGGGCCCTTGTCTCTGCACAGAGAGTGGGAACGATGTCCCGAGGAGGGACGGCCGAGAACTAGCGGGGTCCCCGCCTGGACAGGCCTGTAAGTTCAGAGCCCCGCAGGCAAGGGCAGCCTTACTCCCCTGCGCTGTTCCCCGAGGCTTTTCCCGAGGGAAGAAACGCGCATCCCCAGACCATGCTGGCAGGCTCAGAAGTTAGGCTCGGAGAGAATCGGGCTTCTTTGCAAGATACATTCTTCATTTGGCCTCAGACGTTCGCCAAGTGATGAATGAAGACCCTGAGCTAGGACCTGGCTCTGGACCATATCAGACTGACATTTTCCCAGCCGCCCTCCCTCCAGCTTTCTGATCTGCTCCCATGTCCAGGACCTGGGGGCGAACCTCAGTTCTCTCAGGGAATATACTGAGGACGAGAACACCGAGGCCCAGAGAGCTCACAGTCACGAGCAGAATTTGGTCTAAATCCATCTTTTTGGGCTTACTCTAATTCATTAAAAAAATAAAATAAAATAATTGACCCTGGCCAGTTTGGCTCAGCGGTTGGAGCATCAGCCTGCAGACTGGAGAATCCCGGGTTCGGTTCCCGCTAAGGACATATACCTCGGTTGTGGTTTGTCCCAGGCCCCGGTTGGAGTCATGTGGGTGGCAGCCACTCGATGTGTCTCTCTCACATCGATGTTTCTCTCTCCCTCTTCCTC